TGGGTCGGATGTATAAAACCCGGTCTGTTATTTGGTCTGTTAAGAGTTATGAATGGCAATGAAAATATAATTTGATTGCTTTATGGGGAGTTATCGGATCAAATGGGTAGGCTCAAGACGAGTGGCTAAAATATACGGAAACAACACATGAACAATGAAACATAAATTTAGACAATGGAAATTGGAAATTGATAAAAATGGTTTCAAAAAGTGTAATATTAAAGTAATATTAATTTCATTCAATAATGGTCGCATATATTATGTGAATTCTGTTTCGTTGTTATGAATGACACCAATTTGTCATCTACATGTACATTGGTAACCAGTATATACATCATTTTTATAGTTCGTTCTTATGTTGTACTGTTATACCACTGTCCCAGGTTAGGGGAGGGTTGGGATCCCGCTAACATGTTTAACCCCGCCACATTATGTATGTATGTGCCTGTCCCAAGTGAGGAGCCTGTAAATCAGTGGTTGTCGTTTGTTTATGTGTTACATATTTGTTTTTCATTCATTTTTTATATATATATAAATAAGTCCGTTAGTTTTCTCGTTTGAATTGTTTTACATTGTCATTTCGGGGCCTTTTATAGCTGACTATGCGGTATGGGCTTTGCTCATTGTTGAAGGCCGTACGGTGACCTATAGTTGTTAATTTCTGTGTCATTTTGGTCTCTTGTGGAGAGTTGTCTCATTGGCAATCATACCACATCTGCTTTTTTATATCAGAGATAAACGTCGTAATGTAACTAAACATCAGTAAGTAAAATATATTGGGATGCTAAAATATATATAAAGAATAGAGAAAGAATAATGAGAAAAATAAATAAAATGTAGAGAAAAGTGACATAACAATTTAAAGAATACAGAAATAAACAACACGGTATACACGAGAATCTGGATGGACACGCAGAATATAGAATAATAGATAAGGACAGTAGAGAGTGATGCATTGCTAAAAAAGAGAGAAAAATAACAATTGTTTAAGAATACAGACATGAAACACCCCTTTTTACTATTTAGACCCTCCAAGATGACTGTTAAAACAATTTTTGCATTTATTCCACATCTCCTTATTTTTAAATAATAGTATAGACAACGATATCTATATAGATGCTTTGCAATTTGTTTTACTGTATATCACTTTATGTTATTTGAGACTGGAGTCCGATAAACATTGGCCTCCTGTCAACCGCTGAATCTGATAGCTCAGTAAATATTGTAAAGTGCAAACAAAACAAAATTTCAGGGGGAGGGGGTGGTTGAAACAGTAGCGGATTGCAATGTACTCAAATTGGTGACAAATGCTAGAATTTTACAAGCGCACAACTGCAGTTCTCCTCTGCACTTATGTAGAAAGGAACTAAACGGAATAAAATGAATTAAAACTTAAGATAATCAAATGTAGCTGCATTCACTTCTTTCCATTTACTTCTTTAGAATGTTTTGTAAACAACATATGATTAAGTAATAGAACAAAAGAACCAATTGGATGATGCTGACGAATTAGGGTTTAACGTCCAGTGGCAAATATCATGTCCATATGAGAACGACAACACGTTATATGTACCCGGTGTTGTATAAGACAGACACTTTCAGTCGGATTTTTGAACGTGCTTCTTTGAACAAACACAAAAATCAAGGCTGATTGAAAACGCTAATAATAAATTCATGCATATTCCAGCGGCCAATCCATATCACGCTATTATGCAGTGATACACCTTTCAATAAAATGCAATGAAAGTCAAAATAAAAATGCTCTTACTACAAGGACACTGTTGCACCGTGTTGTCATTTTTTTTTTACTCAAGTATATCTCATTCTTAACTTTTTTAATGGGATATTATAAAGGTAGCAAAACTATTGTCGTGGCTAAATAACTCTTAACTGACACAATTTAAATTGTCCAACCCATTAACAGACTTTATTCCCCTAATAGTCACTAAAACGTGGTATTACTCACGTTATATTACAATTATGAAGTATTTACTAATGTCAATTTATTTTTTAGAACCAAAGTACTATTTTGTGTCCTTTAAATGATATCTAAAATTGTTTGTTTCGCCTTTTATTAAAACAATTGCTATGCGTATAAGCATAAATACCACATACTTGCGCGACGCCTTTTAGTTTTACTGAAGTTTGCGCAGACTATGAAATGTTTTTACAGGTGGAAAATGTTCTATGATAGATATCATTTTGTCAGACACTTTTCTTTTTTTTAGTTGGTTCTTATAATATGCCAAAAATCTGTATATTTAACAGAGTTGAACATTTAAATTGTGTGTTTTACTCTTAACAGACGTTTAACCGGCCCGATTAACAGACCAACCGCCCATATAGCCGCATACTCAATATAGATTAACCAACCAATCTCTCGGTTATCTGAGTGTCGGCCGTGGACATTTTCAAGTGAAATATATGACGTGTTTATTTATAAATCTACGAAACACATATAAGAGTTAATAGATATACTTTGTTTCTTTAAATATGGTTATATCCTACAGGTGTGTTGCTTGTTTCTTTCCTATTTCATCAACTTTGACATTTGAATCCCTTCCGGACAACTCTCACTCCAGATACCTCTCTTATAAGAGAACATTCATGTTGTCACAGGTGCATTTTGTGTGTGCACATATCTATTTCACTAAATTTGGTTCAATACATATCTTATAAATTTCAATATAAACATTGAATAGAAGTATAGATCTTTTACGAGTTTTTTAAAATATAATTATTTTTTTTGTCTTAAAGCATACAAAATCTTTTAATTGCCATCCTTTTATGATTCTTTGTTTAATTTGTATTTAGTTTATATTGTTTTATCAATTCACATTATTCTAAGAAGGGTAACTTAAAACAGGATTAAACAGGGGAAGTAACCCGAAATTTCTATGAATTTTGCTTGAAGCAAAAGTCGTTAATGATCGTTAATTAGTACTATGTTTGACACCCAAGCTGTCAAGCGAAGCCATTTAATTTCACATGGTCAATGATTTAAAGGTAAAAACAACCCTCATCAGTGAGTCAAAAACGTAATTAATGTTGACTTGTCATTCAAGGTTAAAATATCCCAAAGCGGGAGATTCTATACTCCCGCTCGTGAGGGTACCGGCAAGCGGGAGATTTCCCGAATTTCGCCATTTGAGCGGGAGTCTCCCGCTCAAAACGGGAGGGTTGGCAGGTATGGGTAAAATTGTTTAATTGGTCAAGATCTATCGGCCCTGAAATTTTCAGACGAATCGAACAACCCATTGTTGGGTTGCTTCAACCGAATTGGTAGTTTTAACAAAATTTTGCAGTTTTTTGTTATTAGTTTGAATATTATTATAGATATGTATAAACTGTAAGCACCAATAATGTTCAGCAAAGTAAGATCTACAAAAAAGTTAATATGACCAAAATTGTCAATTGACCCCTTAAGGAGTTATTGCCCTTTAAAGACAATTTTACACAATTTGTTCATCAAGTTTGCTAACATTTAAAAATCTTCTCCTCTGAAATACAGGTGAGCGATTCAGGCTCTTGAGAGCCTCTTGTTGATGAAATCAAACAAAGTTTAATTTTGGACCCTTTTGACCTCAATGTAGACCAATTTAAAAATGGGGCCCAATATCCAAACAAATTATACAAGGTAAGAACCCCCAAAAATTAAAGACTTAATTAATCCCATCGAAATTGGTTAAAACATTTGTATTTGTTTTCAATTGAAGATTTTTTTGCTATTGTGCAATACTGTGCAATTGAAGATTTCTTGCTATTGTGCAATACTGTGCAATTGAAGATTTCTTGCTATTGCGCAATACTGTGCAATTGAAGATTTCTTGCTATTGCGCAATACTGTGCAATTGAAGATTTTTTGCTATTGCGCAATACTGATATTGCACAATACTGTGCTATTGCGCAATACTGTGCAATTGAAGATTTTTTGCTATTGCGCAATACTGATATTGCACAATACTGTGCTATTGCGCAATACTGTGCAATGGAAGATTTCTTGCTATTGGGCAATACTGTGCTATTGTGCTATACTGTGCTATTGCGCAATACTGTGCTATTGCGCAATACTGTGCTATTGCGCAATACTGTGCAATTGAAGATTTCTTGCTTTTGCCCAATACTGTGCTATTGTACAATACTGTGCTATTGTACAATACTGTGCTATTGCACAATACTGTGCAATTGAAGATTTCTTGTTATTACGCAATACTGTTCATTAATTTGAAATTTCAAAAATTTTGAAGAAAAAAAATGAACCCCCCCCAAAAAATTGAAAAAAAAATCCCCCAAACTTTTTTGAACCCCCCACCCCCCTTTTGAAGTAATTACCCCCAAACTCAATCCCAGCCTTCCCTTTGTGATATGGAACCTTGTGGTACAATTTCAGAGAGATCCATACACTTACACACAAATTATTGTCTGGAAACTACAAAAATGCTTGTTTTTGGCCCCTAATTCCTAAACTGTTGGTACTTATCACCCCTAAAATCAATCCCAACCTTCCTTTTGTGGTATTGAACCTTCTGGTAAAAATTCATAGAGATCCATTCACTTAAACTAAAGTTATTGTCTGGAAACCAAATGTGTCTTCGGACGACAACGATGCAGATGACGACATCATAGCATTATACAACGCAAAAAAATTTTTTGTGGTCGTATAAAAATCTTAACTTTTTTTTTAAGTAGTCACTGAACCAGGAAAATGAGGTCAAGGACAATGGACATATGACCGACGGAAACTTCATATCATAAGGCATCTATATACAAAGTATGAAGCATCCAGGTCTTCTACCTTCTGAAATATTAAGCTTTTAAGAAGTTAGTTAACGCCACCACCACCGCAACTGCCGGATCACTATCCCTATGTCGAGCTTTCTGCAACAACAGTCGCAGGCTCAACAAAAATGTAAATAAAATACCTTCAGTGGGTCAGTGTTTTTATTTGAAGTGTAATCTCAGCTTGTCATTGATAATTTCAGTATTACATATAAACTTACATTGATTTTAGCCCCAGTTTCATCTTGTAATTCCCTGATCTTTGATCCACCTTTTCCTGTAAAAGAAAATAAAAGAACTTCAAGGGAATGAAGTTTATTTAAGACTACCAAAACATTTTTACATTCCAAAACCAGATAATATTTATATATATTTATCAATGAGTATTTGTCTCTTTTACTGAAAAATAAAATTCTGTTTACAAGCAAAACCATTAGAATAAAGTGCATTCATTTTCAATTCTATTTACCAATAACTCTTCCAACCATAGATGAATCTACACGTATAGTGGAAGAATCACTTTGTCCATTTTGATCTTCATTTCTGCCAAATGACCTCTGTCCACTATCATTACTTCTACCAAAACCTCTGTTTGAATCCTCTCCTCTACCAAAACCATCACTTCTACCCCTGCTACCAAAGCCCCTGCCGCCTCCTCTACCACTGAAAGAGTTTGTGTTAGTGTCTCTAATTTTGTCTCTATCATTTTCGTCCTGCCTTCCAAACCCTCCTCTACCTCTACCCCAACTCCCTCTTCCCCGTGACGATGTGCTGTCATTTTCAGTTGAGTCTCTATTTCTCCAATTGGTGTCTTGATCAGCATTTGAGGTAAATCCTCTTCCTCTAGACTTTCCCATCCAATTATTGTCAGTATTCATTCTTGGCTGTAAAACAAAATACATTTCTTACATGTAAAGAAATGACATCTTGTTATTCTATATTTGTTTTTATCCTTTAAATTTTTAACATTTAATTTGTCTACATAAATGTACATGTAGTAATTCAAAATATGTTCATGATGAAAGCTGTTATTAGAATGACAGAACAGTATTTTTCTTAAAAAGACATTATAAATGGAATATATTGTGTTATTACATTGGTAGCATTGAATTACATTGATTTCCCAGTCAAATAAAAACCGATAATTTCACATGTGAAATAAACGTGGTTATTTCACTCTCTGACGTCATACAACAATAGGCGTTGTCAAGACGTCGATAACGTCGGATCAAAACAAATTGTGAATGCGTAGAAAAAAGATATAGTTCCTTACATTTTCTACATTAATTTCATTAAAAAAAGCCATTTGCCAATGTAATAAAAAGAATAACTAATCAAAGAATTCAAATATCGAAAAATATTCAACTCGTGACCGAACAACACTGATAATTAACTCATGCGCTACGCGCATTCGTGAATTAATATGTTGTTCGGTCACTCGTTGAATATTTTTCTCTATTTGAATTCTTCGATTAGTTATTCTATAAATATTAGAAAATATGTCTTTAAGCTTTATCCTTTACATGATGTTTAAAAAGAAACTATTTTAATGTTAGAAAAACTTGGTATAAACAATATCAGTAACATATATATCTGAACTATTAAAGCTATTCCAGAAATATATGAATTGGGGTCAGGGCAGGTCAGATTTTGCATATAAAACACAGATCTAGAAATTTCTGCATATTCATCAAATAAAACATATCGTATCAGACTATCAATAAATAACATTTCATATCAGTGCCTCCTGAACCCCTGTCTATGTATTTCTGAAATAACCATCAGAGAACAAAGCATTTATAAGTAACTTGAAAAAAGTTGTCAACAAAGCATACATGTTCATGTACAAGGTAATTATATGTAATTTTTTATAAGATATTGAGGATTTTTCAAGATTACAATAATGCAATTAATTCATTTTCTCATACTTAAAAAGCTTATCATGTGTTTCCATTTATTTTGATTTTCTTGGTAAATATTTGAGACCACTTAATGAAAATTCCAATTTTATCCATTACATGTACCACAAGTCAAATATTAAAATTTTTGACTTCTGGGAATGAAATGTGATCACGTGATAATACCTTGTACATAAAATAAAAATTCACATGATTAACAAGAAAGTCTGAAACAAAATAGCAATATTCAAGGTCATTCAAAATTGCCACAACAATGATCATGATGATGAAAATTAGAATTAAAAATTAAACATCTGACTCTTTGAAACTGAGTCTTTGAGCTTGATTTTGAATAATTAAACAAAAGAAGTGGCAATTCCATGATCGGCTACCGTACATTCTTTTTGCACAAACGCAGTTTAACACAAGACACATAGAAATTTGGAAAATGGCCTGGAGTTTGCAGAAAACAGACGATGACATAGTATTTTTAAAACTAAACAAGAAAAATGCAATAGACATTCGCTATTCAAACTGACTAGTCATGCTAGTTGTATATTATATCAATTTGAGATATTCTTGTAAAGTTCTACTTTTAACTGTCAATGAAAGGTTTGAAGAGTAATTGGTAAACAATTTTGATGCATTGTGTGGTACAAACTTGCACAAATTTTGAATTAACCTTGATGTAATGAAATTGTACCTGGTCTGCCAACCCAACACTTCAAAGATATCAAATTTTTGGCTTTTTAAAAACAGTCAATATATATATTTGGGGAATGATGAAAAAAGTATTTGAAATATGAAACCTCAAATTTCTCTCATTCAAAAATGAAGTAAAGTTCTAAAGTTAAAATTTCAGACACTTACCAGCACTGAAAGACAGTCACAGACATGACAGACATACATTTCAAAATTATTTTTTATTTCATTTTATTGTATGATTAGTACTTGAAAATCACCATTTATGTTAAATATCATGAATATGTACATGATGAAATCTCTTTCCTTGGAAACAGTAGTAACAAGTCTCCTTAATTTTGTTTTAATTAACTGAAGAGAAAAAAAAATTGTACTCTGATAGATCAATGAGAATTATTATTATGTAATCTGTAAAATACAGCGCTTTAAAAATATGGTTTTATTTAGCACTATACATTGTATATCTCAATGACATAGTTGAAATCTCTTTCCTTGGAAACAGTAGTAATAAGTCTCCTTAATTTTGTTTTAATTAACTGAAGAGAAAAAAAATTTGTACTCTGATAGATCAATGAGAATTATTATTATGTAATCTGTAAAATACAGCGCTTTAAAAATATGGTTTTATCTAGCACTATACATTGTATATCTCAATGACATAGTTTGTCAATGAATGCAAGGAAACTTTTGCAGAGGTTGGGTTAAATTCAATCGATTGACTTAATCACTTATGAAGTTCAAATCTGAAATGATAATCATGTCTACTGGATTAATATAATTATAAAGTGTGGACATAAAGAAAACCAAGTCATTTAACTTTCAAATACTCCATGAAACAAAAACAAAAAAAAAACACTACATTTTACTATTTCATTCATTTTGAACAAAGGTAATCAAAATGAAATAACGAGATATTTAAAAAAAGCAAGCTTTTAAAACAGTTCTTGAATGCTCATAATCAAATTTTAAAATGTTGTTCTTTCAGGAGATTGGGTGTCTTTCGCCATCTTCGATTGCACAATCATGGAAATACTACTCATGCTACTAGGGGGTGTTTAACGACCTTGACTACCTAAGAGGGTCTTGCACGGTCCGTGCTCATGAAAATAGCAGAAAACAATAGTTCTAGATCCTAAATGAAATATGCAAATTTGAGAGAGGAATGCATTTGTATGACTGTTCATTTAATTGGATAAAATAATGTGTTTTATCTGATAATATTAACCATGATAACTGTTATAAATGACAGCAAAATTATTTTCATTTACCTGTGTTTAAAGTAATTGCAAATGGCTGATATTTTTGTTCAAGCATATTGTTTTTCTTAAATTGGTTAACATTTCACAGCGGTATAACATGTTACTTTAATTATTCTTCCCTTAGTTTATTTATTTTGTATTTACATTGTATCATAGATCAAATTTATTTGTTCAGTGTATATAAAAAAGAAGATGTGGTATGATTGCCAATGAGACAACTCTCCAAAAGAGACCAAATGACACAGAAATTAACAACTATAGGTCACCGTACAGCCTTCAACAATGAGCAAAGCCCATACCGCACAGTCAGTTGTATGTTCACTGGTGTTAATATGTCTTTTGATTGAATTAAGTCATTTCAATTGACATTTTATAGTGTGTCTATCTATGTTGTGATGTTACACTATTGTTTCAGATAAGGGTGAAGGTTTGGTACCATTAAAATGTTTAAACCCGCTGCAATTGTTTGCACCTGTCCTAAGTCAGGAATCTGATGTTCAGTAGTTGTCGTTTGTTAATGTGGTTCATAAGTGTTTCTTGTTTCTCGTTTTTTATATAGATTAGATCGTTGGTTTTCCCGTTTGAATGGTTTTACACTAGTAATTTTTGGGGCCCTTTATAGCTTGCTGTTCGGTGTGAGCCAAGGCTCCGTGTTGAAGACCGTACTTTGACCTATAATGATTTACTTTTATAAATTTTGACTTGGATGGAGAGTTGTCTCAATGGCACTCATACCACATCTTCTTATATCTATATATAAATTTTTCTTTACCAACTAAGCCACAAAAGGGAAGATAACTCATTTAATTCAAATTTATTAAGGAATATTGTTATTCTAATTTAATTTAATTTTAACGTAAAGGTTAATTTAGCAATTTTGTTTAGTACTAACCATTTGCTAACTGGTAGCGAGAAAACAAGTTAACCCAAGGTTAATCCTTGTAAATTAAGTCATTGAACAATCAGTTCTTACTATGAAGTAATAACATAAGCATTATGACAAAGTTAATATATGGGAAAATACATGATTTTGAAAGTTGTCTTTTAGATGTTGATGTCATCTTAATTAGGACTTGTCGTCTGCTACTGATCTGTATGAATTTGTGCCAACAGGCCTCCAAGATTGAGGATTGAGGTATGAAACTAATTGACAAAACTGCACTTTCATACCATAGCTGTCTCATTGTGGAAGACACTGTTCTGTCCCCTAAATTAATGGTGACTTATTTATGTACAATTGTATCCTAGTCACATCATGAGATGATCAGTAAGGCAATATATACTTGCAAATCTAGATAGTGTGAAAAATAAAGTAGAAGTATCATAGATGGATGCAATTTGGAGTGAGGGTTCATTGGTTAACAGTATATTTTGATGATTACAAGTGCATACTGTGTTTGATTTTTGTTCCCTTGAATAAGATGAAGATGATGGTCTCCATTCTTGTCTAACCACAGGATGTTGTGGCATAGGTTTGGGAGGCAAACCAGCTATTTCGTCATCCCAGTTCTCCTCTTCATACATTGTTAATTAAAAAAATGAACATTAACTTTGAATAAAACAAAAAACTCAACACATTTCCATTCAAATTTTGTTCTTTACGTAAAAGGTTTTAAAGCAAAAGTAGTTTTGAAATTTCCCACATGGAAACAAGCAGAGCTAGAAATTTTTTTAAAGGCTTTTAGTATAATACATCAATGTATGGATTATATAAAAAAAATATTATTAACTGAACTTTTAAGTGACGTGCTGATAATTTTGATAACATATTGTTGATATTTAAACTACGAAACTACGAAAAGACTGGTTTGAAATAAATTATAAGGAGGAGCAAGGAAGGGTATTAATTAAGATCCAGTATAATTTAAAAATGGTGGACAGTGAGAACATTGTCTGGGGTGTAGATTTGGAAGTTAATTTATTACATGCCATGAGAGGACACAAACCAGTTGGTAATGATGTTGAGAAGATACGAATCATTGTTAATGGCACACTCAAAGGAAACTAGCCTATAGTAATCACCAAATATAGTAAAAATCACTGCTTTGGAAAACTTAGAGAACTTATCTCCCCTTATAACAGTACCAATAGTGTAAAATTAAAATAGTATCTTGAAATAATGTGGTTAAAACTGTTTATGTGAATAAGGATATGTACATAAACTAGGAATCTCCATGACCTATTTTATGATGGCGCACTGCCATCGTTAAATAATCTTCCACCATCATCAAATAATCCCCGCCATCATAAAATTATCTTCTGCCATCGTCAGATGATCCCTGCTATTATCATATTATCTTCTGCAAACGTCAAATGATACCCGCCATTGTTATATAACTGCACTATGATTGAAAGGTGTAGTCAAAATTTGCTTTTGTTTTGCTAGCCGCCACAAGTCTTTGAGAATTCAGCTGGACATTTGGTCCAATAAACCATTCTTTTTACAGACACCATCACGAGTTGGTTGTCCGTCATGGAATATCTGTTTCACAAACGGATATGTTCCAATTGTCATAACTACAATCCCGTCCCCTTTTCCCCGATTGTGACCAGTCAAGGGTATAACTCTATAGGGTTATTAGAGAAAAATAACATACATTTGTTACATACCTGCCAACTTTCACGATTTAGGCGTGTACTACATGATTTTGACCCCTTGTCACGATTGCACAATTGTGATCGTGAAAAAACCTCTAAAACACGATTTTGTGAAAATTTACACGAAAAATATGATTGTTCCCGATTTTGAACTGTTCCCAATGGAAGACAATCATGATCAGCCAATCAAAGTCTGTGTTTCTCATGATCAAATCAATAAACCAATCAAAAATAAAGGCAACAGTAGTATACCGCTGTTCGAAATTCATAAAACGATTGAGAAAAAAACAAATCCGGGTTACAAACTAAAACTGAGGGAAACACATCAAATATAAGAGGAGAACTACGACATAACAGAAACACAACATTAAAATGTAACACACACAGAAACGAACTATAAAATAACAATGGCCATTTTCCTGACTTGGTACAGGACATTTTAAGAAAAAAACTGGTGGGTTGAACCTGGTTTTGTGGCTAGCCTAACCTCCCGCTTTTATGGCAATGTTAAATATAACAATAAAATGACAACATTACATGACAGGACTACAATACAAATAAATGGGAGAACATATAGGACAGAGAAACATACGAATAATAGCTAACAAAAGGTACCAGGTTTAAAATTTAATACGATTATCAAAAATATTTTCTCTCAAGATTATTGGGACATGCTAGATTTTGAACTTGTGTTTTATTCCTCTGTGTGTTAGTCAGAATTGTAAACTCAATAAACATGACAGGTGAATTTTCATCTGCAAGGAGGTTCTTACACAGCTTCAGAATAAAAACATGGCTGATTGACAAAATTCAATGATGCAGTACTACCATAAAGATAATAAAAAGTAGTTTATTCACTAACTTATTGACATTACACTTGCTGTAACATATCATATACTACAGTTGTCATTTTTGTATTAAATTAAATTACCAAATCATTTAAAGTACAATGTCCTATTCTTTATTTTCCACAAGGAACAAATAAATGTCCTTCTTTGTGCATAATTTTAAATTGGAAAAGTCAACAATCATTTAATATTCTTACACAAGAAAATAAATCCTTGTATTCTAGCTACATGTTCATCTTTTCTACTGATATAATAACTAGAACCATGCAAATAAACAGAAGAAAAAAGCTTGTAAGCTCATCATACAAATATGACACCTTTTCTAGACCACAAAACAGCACGTGCAAAAAATGTCGCAAAGAATTGTGACCTTTGAAATTGTTGTCGCGCACTAAAACCCCCATAGGGATTTTCAAAAGTTGGCAGGTATGTTGTTATTGTGGACTAAAAAATCAAAAAACTGTGATAACATATGTATGTTACATGTTTCAAAGGGCCAATATACATCATTTGTTTTGTTAAAATGCATACAAGTTCTATTGATATTATTATTGTCTTTATGTATACTAAACTAAAGAAAGATATAAAAGTTCATAATTTGCCAATCATGCATAGTACACCTACGTTATTACAGAAAAAATATTCCTGTAATAACTAAAGGGTGTTATTACAGCTTCTCTACATCACTTCAAAGCCTTTGCTCACACATACATCATGCTTAATCACATTGTATTTTAATTTATTGTAAGAAATAATGATCGGAGCATGTAATGAGGTTCTGCACAAACTTCCCAGTAATTCCCTAGTGTCTCATATAATAAGTTACATGCCTTTAATAACTAAGCCTTGTTATTACAGCTAAGTTTATCCCTTAAAAGCTTTGTCTCATTGATTTACCATGGTTGATGAAAAATGTATTAATTTAATTCAAAATTAGTTATCAAGGTTTATTTTCTGCGCAAAGATTCAAGAATTCCTAAGTGCCCACTCAAAATTAAAATATTTATGATTTATTTAACAAATAACAAACATATGTTACTACAGATTTAGAAAATTTAAGGAATAAAGAGTAGACAATTCATGAAAGTGTCTGTAATAACACATGCAAGATATTTTCTCTAATAACCCTATAGAATTATATCCCTGACTGGTGACCTACCGAATTAGTCTTTTCACCAGGTTTATACTAACATGAGCAACACGAAGGGTGTCACATGTGGAGCAGGATCTGCTTACCCTTCAGAGCACCTGAGATCACCCCCAGTTTTTGATGGGTTGGTGTTGCTAAGTCTTTAGTTTTCTTTGTTGTGTTTTGTGTACTGTTATTTGTCTGTTTGTCTGTTTGTCTGTTTGTCTTTAGTTTTTATTTTTTAGCCATGACGTGAGTTTATTTTTGACTTATGAGTTTGAATGTCCCTTTAGTATCTTTCGCCTCTCTTTTCTTAACTAAACCAGACTTTTTTTTACACATACATGTATGATTTGGACAAAATCAAAAATTTTATTGGTCATTTGGTCCAGACAGTAATGCATCTCACTTAACTGGACCAAACCAACTTTTACTGGCCTTTGCCCAATGTCCGGCAATCTTGGGAATAACAGATGGAGTGTTATCAATTTTATTCTGTTAAGGTTCATCATAAGGTAACGTGAAATACATGTAATTAAAATTTTGCAACAACCTTACATTGGCTTACAACCTCAAAATGCTTCTTTGGTGTCAAATTTTGTGGAGGACGTACATGTACATGTAGAAATCTCGCAATTTTATGGCTTGAATAAAGGGGACATGCATATTATGTTCCATTCAGTCATGGTCAAGGTGATTATTTCACATCATAGTATACTAAGTATATGTGCCTACTAAAAATACAATTACCAGTATTTAGAAGAAAAAAATTTGCATTGAATTTGGTATGAATTGATTGAAAGATGGACAATTTTGATTTAAGCTAAAAAAAATAATTAAATGACCTTACTTCAACATATTAAAAGCATTTATGATAAACATCAATATATATGAATGAGAGAGGTGATTGATTTTGTAATTTATGCTGAATTATTTTCTTTTTTTTAGGGGTCAATAGATACTTTCAGTTAGCTCTTATACACGAAAAACTGAACAATATCAGCCAGAAAAAAATAACAGCTGGACAGATATGGAAACATCTTGGTGTCATGTATGATTTACATGCTTTGGTAAATACTCTTATTCTATTATTTATCTACAAATACTACTATAAAAAAAACTAGCAACCAAGATTCATGACAAATATACCTTTCACAAAAAAGATAGATTTATAGTTGGCCCTCTTTTATATTCATGTTCATTATAATTTGTGCAAATGCTTTATCAAATATGTGGATTCATTTATTTCCATGGGTACACATTTTCATGGGAGAGAAAACATTGGTTTTATCAATGCTGCATACAAGCTTACAAAAAATTTAGCATTTTGATCAACATTTAAATTTTTGCCATACCGTTATCAAAGAAATGCACCAAAATTAGTATCCCTTAAATAAATGTTGAATTTACAGTAATTAATGTAAATTCTTAAAAAACTTATTAACATTCAGATATATATATATTTAGACCCCTCTACCACGAAATTTGTTTTACATGCACACGTATAAAAATTGCGGTTTTTATCCAACACAATCATAGGTTTGAACGTTGTTTTCAATTTAGACTTTTATATATTTTTTCGTTTGGGCTTGTATTATATTTTCCTTCAGGTTTATATGATCTGTTCATCCTATTTCGACTATTTAAAATTCAAGAGTCTTTCCTAAATTGAGGTAAATTATATGGCCTTCCAAATACCGTTTCGATCCCTAACATCACTGAAGAGACATTAATTGTCGAAATCCGGTGTACAAATTTTTGCACCTCATGTTTGTGGTATACCATCTTTTCCACAAGTTTATTGTTTTCTGTTTGGTATTAACTTAATATTAAGATTCAATTTGTTAGATCTGGTGATCAATTTATTTGGCAATCCCCAATGGCAGTCAGCAGGGTTTAAGAACATCAGTTGTTCGACCTGTTAGTCAAATGCGTTTTGTTAAAATAGACTTTTTCACTTTTTTTGGTCTTCGGAAATTGTTGTTTGTGCTGTATTTAGACCCCTCTACCACGAAATTTGTTTTACATGCACACGTATAAAAATTGCGGTTTTTATCCAACGCAATCATAGGTTTGAACGTTGTTTTCAATTAAGACTTTTAATATATATATATGCCAGATTACTATAAATTTATTTTGTATTTAGTAAATATATTGAATTTTCATGTCTGTTTGACACAGTTCATCTGACCTTGACCTCATTTACATGGATTACTGATAATATTAAGTTTTTGCAATACACAAAGTAAGACCTTTAGTAGACATAATCAGTAAAGCAGGTAAGTCATTTCAACATGTTCAGTCTTGTTGTTTGCTAGTGAAAAAAATAATCATAAGTTATAGTCTTAATACAATAACCTAAACAATATGTTATTTTTTTCCAGAATGAATCTGAAATATTACCCTTTCCTAACAAAGAAACTGACTTCTCCCTACCTGAAGATGACTACAAAGAATTCTTACATAAAGCTTTCTCTAGAAATCCAACTAAAAATGATGACAATAAAACTGAACTGAAGACAGAAAAAGAAACACACAGTAATAGCTGTATGTTTATTTTTATAGAACTTTAAGTTTAGGATGAAATTGTGATGTGAAGTAAACACTTATATCACAATGAATAAATACACCAGGATACAAGACAATGATTCTGTTTTATTAAACTCCTCTTAACATAGATTACCTGACAATTTAAGTAGACAATTATTATACAGCTGAAATAAAGAAACCGTACAGTCATATATTTTCATTTCTTTTTTGTGAACTATTTATTACTTGACATACTCTTGTCATTTGTTGAAGATGATATGTTGACCTCTTTTTGTAAAGCCTGCTAAATTTTGTCTAGATGCAACAGCCAAGACACAGCAATCCTACATTCTAGCTGCAGCCGACACCATAAAGGTTCATTCTGTTGTTCAAGTTTTTTTTTAAACATCAGTAACTTTGTCAAACCTTTATTGTTTATGGATCTTTTTGAAACTTGGACAGAAGCATTTTTTAGAAAACCCGCATTCCGAACTCGGTTCCGTATTTTACATACTTAAAGTGAATGTTAGTTCAGGGAAAACGGTACTATTTATTCTGCCATAGGCGACAATACTAACATTTTCTAAATTTACCACTTTTTATAGTAAAAACCTGGATAAAACAGTTATGTGTTTTGTTAGAACTTTATTATTCTATTTCAAAAATTGAAGCCAAATAGTATCATGACCAATTTCCAACGGAGCTTGTTTATGTTATCCATGCCCACCGTCATTTTACACCAAATTTATGAAATTTTGGAAGCCTTTTCGAATAATTCTCTAGAAAATATTTCAATAGGTTTTAAAATTTATATTGTAAATATACACACTGCAGTTATTCATAGATAAATAAAAAAATATATTGTACCCTTACATCCAATCACAGCGCTCCTAATTTGACTTCCTTCACCTGCCTTGGGTACACAAAAGGCCAACCTAATGCTGGGAAAATGTAATAGTACCGTTTTCCCTTCATACATTGGTAAAAGAAAGACAACTCCAGCGTTGCAAATGTACATTTTAAAATAACAGATGGTGTTGTCTCCCTTCAATATGTCTTGTTGTGTAAAAATTGCGGGCATTAACCTTCGTGGGCGTCAGACAATTTTCAATCGTATTGTTGGAAATACAACTGGAGCAGAATCAAATTTGTAATTTTCATTCTTTAATTTCTTAACCTGTCATACCTGCCATCTTGCACGATTCAGGCGTGAAATACTCGATTTTGACCCCTTGTCACGATTGCACGATTGTGATCGTGTAAAAACCTCTAAACCACGATTATTTATTTATATATTGAAATTAAATTACCAAATCAATTAAAGTACAATGTTCTATCTTTTTATTTTCACAAGGTATCAGATATATTTCCTTCTTTGTGCATATTTTTATATTTGAAAAGTCAACAATCACTTTAATATTCCTGTGACCAATAATCTGATAATCCACCTTTAAGGTTCATCTAAAATACACCAACAAAAATGGCTGTGTTTACACCATGAAATTTTCTCTGAATGCAGACAAAACTGTGTAATTCTAATAGTTTTAAATCCTGGCAGCACCTGGCCATAACTCCTCTTTTTCCTGTGGTACCTGAAAACAATAAACCGGTTTGGTACATTGTTGAGGTCTGAAAGTGACATAACTGCCAACAGCCACATTATTTGGACTCTGGTAGATAGTACATCAGACTCTTATATCATTGGCAATCACACCCCATCTCCTTATTTTATTACGGGTCAATTATTTGAAATAAATGACTACGGTACTAAACATTAAGTCATTTGAAAAAAAATAATTTTGCAATAATTTATGTTGTCATTTTAAGATTTCAGTGTAAGCTTGCTTACTACAGGCTCTTCTCAATGAAATTAAGTTGTATAAATGGTGTCACTTTGTTTGTAATTGTGAAACTAGTATAACAATACTATTGTCTAAATCTACAGAAATTGATCATGTTTAGGTAACTGAAATAACAATGTGATTATGTCACTAGGTCACCTGTAACTTATCTCTTGAATAAGGACTATGTTGGGTATAAGAGCTTTCTTACTACAGGCTCTTCATAATCATTTTGTTAAATAATTCTACAAATAAGGGAAACAAATTCACATATTACTTTGAATATTGTAGATTGTTCAGGTAGTCTTGAGCTATTTCTTTGTACAGCAGAACAACTAGTAGTTATTTTCACTTCACACACATATATATATATATCTTGACAAACAAATAAAAACGCTATAGATTGTGGAAACAATTCATATCTATTCTATCAGTCACCCTACCTACCATAAACTGAAACGTCGCCTAAGATTCAGTAGGTAAATTAAGTAAAAATCAAGACTTGCATCAAAAATATCCCAATATGAGAGACAATGGCGTCATTTTTACTTAGAGCTTTCAGCTCTTTGATTCTTATCATAAGACAGTATGCAGAGAAAAATTCATACTTTATTCAAAAATGGACTTAGTTTTTTGGCAGTTAACATTAACACACATACTGGGATCAAATTTTTAAGATATCAATAACTTAATCAAACCTTCATGGAATGTTATTCAGCATGGACGGAAGATTCTTCAAGGTGATAAGATAAGAAATAGCATCTAATGGAAAAATGCATCAACCTTACAGATTTACCCAGGGATCAGTGGAACCCTTTTCAAATTTTTGGTCCTATTTTTTACCACATTTCCATGATGATAAATTTCATTCAAAGACCCGTAAAACAGGATTTTAGTTTAGAAAGCATTTACAATTTTGAGTATTTTCTCTGACAAAATAGTTCTAAGATTGTACAATATAATTAAGTATGGATAAATTTACCTTAGAATTAGATGCATATTTTTTGTCCCTCACCACCACATAGTAGAAGACATATTAGTATTATTATTACCGGTAGTCATTTCATCCACTGACCGTAGTATGAATATTGGTTTATATTAGTAAAAGATATTTTTATGCCCCCGCTGCAGCGGAGGGGGCATTAAGTGTTACCCTTGTTCATCCGTATGTCCCAAAATTAGTTTCCATTTTCTAACTTTAGTTTGCCTCAACCAAATGTTATGGACCTTCCCGGTATACACAATGCTTATTACCACAAAACACAGATCAAGTTTGAATTTTGGTGACATCACTTTTTACTGTTCTAGAGTTATGCCCTTTATAACGTTATATGCAAGCGGTGGCATCATCTGTGTCCCATGGACACATTCTCCATTTATTTGAATGATGTGTGAATGATAATTGTTTTCATTATTTGTAACCATTTTGAGTCAAAAACTTTTGCTAGAAATTGCTGTGAATATTTTTTAACTCCTGTTTAAGCTCTTTTATTCTATATTGAGCATATTTTGTGGATAATTTGTAGGTGTTAATATTATGCCATTACTTTAATGCATTGATTTTTTAATGTATATTTACTCTGTCATTTCAGCCCTGAAGACAAGTAAAACAGATAAATCAGAAAGTAAACATTTTGAAAATAAACATACTAGTAATGTTGTACATGCAAATACACCAGAGAACTCTCCAAAGAGAAAGAGAACCAGACATACACCATCATCACAAGCAAGTCCTGCCAATACACCTGATACTCCAGCTACAAAGAGGAGAAGATAAATGATCGTAACACTGACGAATTACATGACCATTGTACTCTGGTTAAATGATGAGTAGCCAGACAGAGAGCTAAATAACTGGTAGACATTTTTCATTACACAGAATGAGTTTGTTAATGAAGAAGCTATATAACAAGGCACACAAATGAATTGATAATTTTTATGAACATATATTTTCTTTGAAAGGGAAAAGAATTCTGCCTATTTTGTACCATTTTGAAAATTCATTAACAGGATTAAAATATTTTTATTTGTATACATGCATTCCTGTATTGATGTATGAATAAATTGAAGAACCTTTGTGAGCACGCTCACATACCCCACGCCCCCACATTGTCAGTGGGCAAACAAAATCTCGCTAGATTCCTAAGTTCAAAGACTCATAACTCCTACAAAAGTCAACTTATATTTTTTTCTTGTGGATATGCACATCAACATATTATTTCCTTATTATCTTCAAAGTTTCAGGGAATTCTGTTGTGTGGATTCAGAGGAGTATGGATGACAAACTGTTGCAGTAGTATATTGAGGCCAATCAGTGCAAAGGGGCATAACTCATAGAAAAAAAAATGAATCATAATTTCCTGTCGATATACACGTCTACATAGTATGTCCTTATTATCTACAAAGTTTCATGAAATTCTGTGGTGTGGTTTCAGAGGAGTAGCGATGAAAAGAATAGGACTGACGGACTGTAGTATATTGTGGCCAATAAGTTCAAAGGGGCATAACTCCTAGAAAAAAAATGAATCATAATTTCCTGTCGATATGCACATCTACATAATATGTCCTTATTATCTACAAAGTTTCATGAAATTCTGTTGTGTAGTTTCAGTGGAGTTGCGATGACAAACTGTTGCAGTAGTATATTGAGGCCAATAAGTGCAAAGGGGCATAACTCCTAGATAAAAAAATTGAATCATAATTTCCAGTCGATATGCAAGTCTACATAGTATGACCTTATTATCTATAAAGTTTCATGACATTCTGTTGTGTGGTTTCAGAGGAGTTGTGATGACAAGAACAGGACTAAGAAACGGGTCAAAAACATTATACCGAACGCAAAAATTGGGTGGGGTATAATTAAAATCAAGGTTACCAGCAGTTTGTTTGTTTAAGGCTATATTGTTGACCTCTAGATGTCTTTTGTTTTGTTTGTTATTTGGTAACTGTCTCATTGACATTTACCCCACATCTTCTCTTATTCATATTGATGAAGTTGCTTTAAACTTTAAATAATTTAATGAGCATTCTGCAAGCAGACATTTTATCTGGTAATCCTGTTTTATATTTCACTTCTCCCTCCTCCCTCTTAGTATCTTCCCTTTTGTGTAAATTTTGAGTGACAACCTCTTTCAGTCGTTATCTATTACAGTTAAACCTTGCTTAGTCGAAGTTAAAGGGACCGGACAAAAGAATTCAACTTATCCGAGGTTCGACTCATCCGAGGTAGAGTATGGCTTCATAAATTTGAAATGCATGAAAGACGGTATGAAACAAATTGAACAGTTGGATTTTTTTTTCGATATGACAATTTACAATTATGTTTTCAAGCTCCATATTTTTTTGATCCATCATTATAATTTAACACACAAAGTACAGATAAAAAACATTCACAAATAAAATCAATAGGCCAAATATTTACAAAGGTCAGTCACTATAAATTACGGATTCACTCATGGAACGAAACAAGTCCTGAAAGATCACTGATGAAGGTCGTCTGCTTTGAATTTAATTATTGTAAATTTGTCATAATTGTCTTAATCCTTTTGATTATTGTAATTAATGGATATTAATTCTACCGATTCATGTAATCTTGACTTGGGTCATTTAAATTCGTTTCGTTTTTATAATAGGTGAGATATGTTGAGCAAACTTAAGATCCGCTTGGACAATCAACCAAGATGTTAATCACCAGTCGCCATAAACATGTTGAACTGTTATATAAACAAGTAAACTTATGAAAATGATCAGTTACATAAGAAAAACATCTGATTTGAATTTTATCTTTAAGACTGCATTTTTCAAAATTTATGATTTTCAACTTCAAGACATGTGTCAATTTACATTAATTTTGCATCGACGAAACTCTGGAATTTACTCGACTTAACTGAGAATTTGAATCAACCGAGTTCGACTCATCAGAGTTTAAAGGCATTGATCAAACAGGAATATTACCAGGACCGAGAAATTAATTCGACTCATCCAAGTTTTCGACACCACCGAGTTCGACACAATGAGGTTCAATGGTATTATTATATCCCCATTCTAGGGCTAAACTGCAATCACCTTGTCCTTTCAACAGATATTTCGTCACTTTTCTGAGGTACTACTGAACAGAATGACTTCATATTTGGTCAGCTGCTTGTCAGTGATGAGTTATATATTGTGTGATTGCTTTTCAGATCTATTGGAAACCTACTTCCTTTTTATGAATACTTTGAATTAAGAGTGAGGTATGCTAAGCACAAGTACATCTTGTTATATTTGTTGTACACAATATTTTTATTGCTGTTCTTCATCTAATTAGTTGCTGGTAGTTTTAACAATGATCTATACAAGGGCTCATACCTTAGAAGACCAAGATGACCCATAGCATTAAAGCAGTACTGTTTAATACTTATAGAATAATACTGTGTTTAGCTTTGACTATGCGAAAATAGAAGCCAAGGCTAAAGACGTATTGCACTACTCAATTTCATGATTCAATGGTAATTAATGCCACCAAATCTGCATGGCAAATTTGTAGAGTCACCGGTTCAACTTTTGCCTATAAGTTCCAAATTCTAGATTTAATATAATTACACATATTTTATTGTTTTTTATGAAGTACATATATTTTTACATTATACCAACAAATTTAATAATGACATTACAAATGAGATATTTACAAATGATCTGTCACGTAAATAATTATGATTTTTAAAAATAAAAGCAATTTATAACAAATAAAACAAGACATTTAAAATAACAATTATATGGTGCATGTTGTTATCAGTAAAAAAAATACCAACAATAAACAATTAAATGTGAACAAAATTAAAAGTCAGATTTAGCAGTTTATAGCATTATGGACATAAAAAAATACGATTTTTAACTGACAGGACTTTCAAAACTAAACCCTGTATATGTACTAAAACTGTTAAAAGAAAATCAACTATAGAAGGCTGCATGGTGACCTATACTTGCCTACATCTATGTCATTTGGTCTCTGGTGGATAGTTGTATCATTGACAATCCTACCAAATTCTTATTTTCATATAGATACAACTGAGACAAAGGGCTATCATTATTATACTGTAAATTCCAAAATTTTTGCAATAGTTATATCATTTTGCAGGGGTTGGATTTCTCAAAATAATAAAAATAGTGCTTCCTTAATTTTAGAAGCATTATTTCTATGCAGTATATCCTGAAAAAAGCAATCATTAATCTCTCAGTTCATAGCATTAAGGACATAAAAAAAATATAATTTTTAAATGATGTTACTTTCAAAAATAAACCCTGTACATTTACTAAAACTGTTAGACAAAGGGTTTAAAATAAGACATATTCCACCCTCCCAAAGATAAAGACGAACAAAAGCAACAGTACTACCAGCTAGCAAACATTTATTTAAAACAATAGATGAAAAAACTCTGCAAAATTACAAAAAGACATGTATTTTTTCTTATTCCTGAAACAATTAAGTGGATATTCCAAGAAACACATCATGATATAGATGAAACTATATAAAATAATATTCCACATGTGCATTAAATCTGCTTCTCATCCATTTATATTAAAACAATGATGCCATTACTGTTACGTGTACATTGAGCTTTTTAATCTGTCATGGGTTTATTTTTTAAGCACTGTCTTCACCAAAATGAATACCGGTAAGTAAAACACTGACATTTACACAATTACACAAGGAATTATCAGATCATATCCCTTATGTAAATAATCTATTATATTACAATATAAAATAATCCATACATAGAACAACCTTCTTTTTATCCAAGGATTTCTTGGTGCTGTTCCGTTAAACAAACATGGGACCTAGGGAAGGCACTTAGGACTCTCAACTATGGGTATTACTTTTTCGTACTGGGAAATTCAACTAGAATATGTGTCCATAGGCAGGTGAAATCTTGTCAAATCCTCATTTAGCAAATATTTTTTACAGGTCACTTCATATTAAACATGTCTGCAAACTACCTTAAAACAAAACTTGCACCTAATTAAGGATGGAGGGGTGCAAAGACCTGAAAACTATCAAAGGCAAGGCACAAAATTGTGTCTGTAAGTGGTAATTTGTAAGTGTCTTCCCCAAGTGCTATATATGTTTTAATGGAACAGCCTTAAGACTTGCTTTTGGCAGTAAATGGTAATTGATGTCCAAGAAATATTGAGTAGTAGGTTGAAATATAGCTCACAGGCCTGAAGGAATAGGGATTCAAATGTTCTTAGTGCAATCTTAACCCCCAAAACAGTGCATGTACCAACCTTACTGAGAAACCTGCCGGTTATTCAAATATAGTTTATAATATTGTCAATATATTCTTTTGAGACATTGTTGGTATTATAAAGTGCATGAGTATTATTGTCATTGAACACCGTTCATGTGTAGATAATATGCACTCAAAAATTGCCTGAGGTTCATTATAGTCTCTCATTATTCAATACAATCAGGAAATTGTGCTTGTATTTATATATCAAATAGATAAAAATTCTATAAGCAGTATACATCAATATGCATCTATAATATTAGCATACATTGTTCCTATTGTTTCTCTTATATTATGAAACAGCCTTACATCATATTCCATCCTAATTAAGAAAACTGACACAAAACTTACTTCCGCAGAAAACCAAAATACATATATATCATCCATAGTAATGATTATAATTAAAACAAGCCAATTGAATATGTATCTTCTTATTGCACAAGTGGCATCAAAATATTCACTTTGACCTTTAGAATCTGAATTCCCATTCACCTTGACCAATAGAATCTGAATTCCCATTCACCTTGACCTATAGCATCTGAATTCCAATTCACCTTGACCTACAGAATCTGAATTCCCATTCACCTTGACCTATAGAATCTGAATTCCCATTCACCTTGACCTATAGAATCTGAATTCCCATTCACCTTGGCCTGTAGAATCTGAATTCTCATTCACTTTGACCTATAGAATCTGAATTCTCATTCATTTTGACCTATAGAATCTTGATTTCAATAAATGTAATAAAACCTCATTTTAACTATTTACATTATAAGATAAAACATGAAATAACATACTTTTCCTTACAAGCTAAAATTTGTAACCAAAAAATGTAGACACATTTCCATTCTGAAAGTGTGGATTGTATGATTGCTGAATGACCTTTATGCTACCCTCACCTTCTACATAATTAAAAATCTACGTAAACACACATTTATTTTTAACTTTAAAACTGCCTAGCTAAATTTGCATAATGTTCTCTTTCAAAGTATTAATGAGTCCTTCAGTAATTGCTGTAGATTCTTTTGAAAAAGTTTGTATGGCTTTCAAAATATGAATTTGCACTGTTAACAAATATTACAAAATATAATTACTATATAACTCATTGAATATCAATTTATAGATTATCTGATTATGATAAAAGAAAAAAATGTTTTTATGTAAAAAAACAATAATAGTTACTGAATAAAAAATAAATTGAAAAAAAACACACAAAAAAAATACTAATTCCAGAGGCATTTTCACAATCTCTTATTTATATTGCAATTATCAACATGTCAAAAGTTTAAAATGAAAAACAACATTTTATCATAGAGCTGCTCCTTTGCCCTTGGCTATTTCTATGTTTTTAATTTGTGAGTTGTCAAATATGCTTTAATATCACCCTTTGTCAACGTAACAAGCTAATGTATATATAAAGATGGTATTACTGAATAAGCAAATGTTAATAGAAAAAATACATGTCGTTTGAACCTGACATGTCACACTACATCACTATACTTTCCCTACAAAGTTTGAAAATAATACTTTACAGTTCAATATTTTCATTACATCAAACTTGATCCAACAAGATATAAAATACACATTCATACCACATTCACATCAATCATATCATATTTCTTAACTTTAATTTCTTTTGGAATCATTAAGTCATAAAATATCCCTGTATTTAAAAAAACATCTTCAGCTTCAACAACTCTCAAAAATTTTCATCCTTTTATGAAGATTATTTCATAATGATATTTTCTTATTTATTTTATTAATTTTTAATTGAACAACTGCATTGAAAGCAATTTATTATTGAAAGCTTATGCACTGTCAATGGTTTTGTGTTTGATTTCCATCATATTCAGACAATGACGACGTGAATTCAAGAAATAATACACTATGTACTGACAGTGACAAATGTTTTCAACAAATTTCAACATCCACTATTTCATACATTCATCTTCTCATTAAACAATTCTAAAATTAACAATACCATCACATGAATAAATGGAATGCGAAAAATAAGCCTAATTATAACGTCATCATTGCCAAAGATTTGTAGAGAGAGTATGTCCACTATTGCCCTGTACTCCCCAGTTGCCCATTCCTCCATTTGATGTTGCCCCTACTGGTTGTCCAATCATGTTACCAGAATTTAATCTCATATTATTCATCTGTTGCTGCATCTATAAGATATAAAATATTTAATTATGAAACAATGGTCTCATCTCAAAAATGTGAAAAATATAAAATATTCAATTATGAAACAATGTTCTCATCTCAAAAATGCTTTCCAATGATGTGAGAGAGAAAACTTACACACAAACTTCCATTATTTGTTTTATTATGTCATTTCTCACTTGACAGTAACAGACTTATTTCATGCACTGCATCTGAAGTCAATGGTGTATTTAGTAGCTTGAAACTTGCATCTTACATCTACTTCTGTCATCAGAAATTGACTTTACAATATTTTGAGCTACTGAGGAGTGAAAGTTTGAGAATTTATGTGATTGTACATACAAACCACCAACAGATACAATAAGGCAGTCTGGAGATGATACATGTCCTAATTTTTATTATTTGAATTATTTAATGAAAAATGGTGAATAAAATGTGCTAGGCGGTGACCAGTTGTAAGATATTTAAATTTTCTTTCTCTCCTGCCTTGTGGAAATTAAGAGGGGGCAGCACATATAAACTACAGTTAGTGTCATGTTTTACATTAAGTTTCTTACAATGATAGTTTTCTTCTGAACTCGTAATTAATCACTGCATAGTTGATATAATATTTCTAGACAAACCTGATTATACTGCATGGACTGCACAGTGGCCATTTGTGGTTGTTGATTATACATTCCCATTGAAGGCTGCATATTCTGTTGTCCCATCATACCATACATGTTTGGATTCTGTGAATAAACAAAGAGGTTGATAAAATGTTTTCATTATTATCTGAATATCTGGTGTAGTTGATATACCTAAAGAAAATTGTTTACTCAGAATTATATAAGAAATCAATTCAAAATTGGGTCTTAAATAACCTTTTTGAATTACTTTTTCTTTTCTTCCTAGCTAGTATATTTACGTTTACAAACTGTTCTAAGGCCAATTCTGATTCTGCACTAATTGTTTAGTCACACAGTGCTTGTGAAAACTTAAGAAACTAATGTGCTGTGTTCCTTCTGAAATGAATTGCATTTTGATGGCTATAGCAAGAAGTATAGCCTGTTATTTTCCATATGTCTACTCATCAGATGGCTATAGAAAAGAAGTACAAGAGTGCACATGCTGAAATGTCTCGCCTGCTTTATTACTATTGATTTTATGTTGATAGCCCCATATATAAAGTTTAACTACAAGTATCACATTAACTTATAATGATCCAAGAAAATGAGGTCAAGGTCAGATAAACCAAGCCAGAAATACATGTACACCTTACAATCATTCCATACATTGAATATAGTTGACCTAAAAAAAAATGTATGGACCTATTGGTTATAGTATACAAGAAACAGACCAAACCCTGAAAACTTTATATTGACCAATGAACCATGAATAGGAGGACAAGGTCAGATGAATCCTACCAGACTGACATGTACACCTTGCAATCATTCCATGGATCAAATATAGTTGACATATCAAATATAGTATCTAAGTAACAAACTTAACCTCGAAAACTTATCATTGACCAATCAACCATGTAAATGAGGTCAAGGTCAGATGATACCTGCCAGACAGACATATAAACATTACAATCATTCTATACACCAATTGCTTACAGTTTAAGAAAAACAGACCAAAACACAAAAACTTAACATTGAGCAATGAACCATGAAAATGAGGTCATGGTCAAATAAAACCTGCCAGACTGACATGTACATCATAAAATATTTCCATACACCAAATATAGCTGACCTATTGCATACATTATTAGAAAAATAGAACAAAACACAAAAACTTAACTTTAACCACTGAACCATGAAAATGAGGTCAAGGTGAGATGACACCTGCCAGTTGGACATGTACACCTTACAATCATTCCATACACCAAATACAGTAGACCTTTTGCTTATAATATCTGAGATATGGACTTGACCACGAAAACTTAACCTTGTTCACTGATCCATGAAATGAGGTCGAGGTCAAGTGAAAACTGTCTGACAGGCATGAGGACTGTGCAAGGTATGCACATACCAAATATAGTTATCATATTACTCATAATAAGAGAGAAATTAACATTACAAAAAATCAACTTTTTTTCAAGTAGTCACTGAACCATGAAAATGAGGTCAAGGACAAAGGACATATGACAGACGGAAACTTCATAATATAAGGCATCTATATACAAAGTATGAAGCATCCAAGTCTTCTACCTTCTGAAATATTAAGCTTTTAAGTAGTTAGTTAACGCTGCTGTGGCCGCCGCCGGATCACTATCCCTATGTCGAGCTTTCTGTGACAAAAGTCTCAGGCTCGACAATAACCTGTTATTTTCTATATGTCTACTCATCAGATGGCTATAGTAAAGAAGTATAACCTGTTATTTTCTATATGTGTTCTCATCAATGCAAAGGCCAACTTGTTATCAATGTTTTCAGAAATTGAAATTATTTCTAGAATGTAAATGCACATATATATTAACCTTCAGTCTGCACCTGGTACGATGTAGTACATGTATGGATGTTTCAGCTTATAATTATAACTCTCAAGCTGATTTTTTTTTAAATAAATTAAAAATTTTCCTCTGACTGATATAAAGTCTAGAATTAATAAAAATGTCAAGCTGACAATTAACAAATTAGTTAGAAACTCAGCAGTCTGTCACATGTATAAAAGCAGGAAAACAAGTTACAACAGACTTAAGTGCAAAACTTTACCAAAGTCATCCATGCATAAAATGTAGGTTACAGTCACCAAAAAAGTTGCTAACAAACATTTCATACAGCAAGAAGATTGAAATACTCAATCAACATTTTAATCAAAGGTTTCTGCAAAATTGAGATTAAGCCAAAAAAATAACCAAAGTATGAAAGGTAGATAATTGTGACCATTTGTTGCTCAGCAACATTGTAGTATACAAGGACAAATAATTAATGTATAATTTGTTTATGAGAATTTGGCATTAAGGCAAGACTGAACCCTATAAGTACCCTGTATGTATTTACAGAAGAAGATTACGGTAATCTATATAAAGCCTCTACATAATCCAAGAGGAGCACAACATTCTTTACTCAAAAACAGACGATCAAGAAATTCTAGTTACCTGTTGCATTGGCACAGACTGTTGATTATACTGATTATTCATCATGGACTGTTGTGGCACCCCTCCTTGGTTAGCCATCATGGACTGTTGTGGCATGCCTCCAGGGTTATTCATCATGGCTTGTTGTGGCATACCTCCTTGGTTATTCATCATGGGCTGCTGTTGCACACCATACATTCCCATGTTCTGTTGAGGCATGTACATACCACCTGTAAAGTCAATATTTTTTAAATAGAATCTCCACTTAGAAGTTGATCCAACTAGTGAATTATTCATCTATGAAAGTATATAACTAAATGGACCAGTAATATATCTTTTAATGGACTAGTTTTATTCTATAAGTTAGACATCATCTACATAACAATACAGGGACATTTTTAAAATAATAAGTTTTAATTGTAGTTTAAGAATTAACATAAAATAAACTCCTTCGCCGAGCACAGCTAGATACGACCGCAAAGGTCCAACCCTGAACAGTTGGGGAAAAATGGACACAATATTCAAGCTTGATACAGGTCTGAATTTGGATTGTAATTAAATATTTGACACATTATAGGTTTCTGACACAGAATAAATGTAGTCAAAGAACTTGAAATTGGTTATATGATTTGAATTTATATTCAATTGAAGTTTTCTTGCTGTTGTGCAATACACTGTGCTGTTGCGTAATACTTAGTAAATCTGTTTTCAGACTATATACAAATAATTTGCAAAATAAATTGTGACCCCCAATTTTTCTTTGGAAAATTGACAATTCCTTAAATCTTGAGGGGAAAAAAATTGACCCCCCCCCCCCAAAAAAAAATAAAATTTTTAACCCCCCCCCCCCCCCTTCCAAAAAAAGTGATATTTGAAGAAATTTTCTTTTTAATTTCTTAAATCTTGAGGGAAAAAAATTGCCCCCCCCCCCCACCAAAAAAAAAATTTTACCCCAAAAATGAATCCCAACCTTCTTCTTGTGGTACAATTTTAGAGCAATCAAAATACTTTAACACAAGTTATTGTCCTGAAACTAGAAAAATGCTTGTGTTGGGCGCTTTCTGGCCCCTAATTCCTAAACGGTTGGGACCATCACCCCCAAAAACAATCCCAACCTTCCTTTTGTGGTATTGAACCTTCTGGTTAAATTTCATAGAGATCCATACACTTAAACTAAAGTTAATGTCCAGAAACTAAATGTCTTCGGACAACGACGACGACGTGATAGCACTATACGACCCCAAAATTTTTTTTGCTGTCGTATAAAAAGTAATTTACAATATAGTTTTTCCCATTTCATTCAAATATGTTAAAAGAATGATTTCATTATTGTTAATTTTTGCCAAATTTAAAGCAAGAAAATAATCAATCATTTTATACATCCAGCTATAAGTGTACTTTCTATTTCATATTCAATACTCATTTTCTGTTTTGTATTCTGTCAGTATCTATATCATCTACTAGAGTCAACATTTGTATTAAGAAAAAAGAATATAGATAAAACCCTTTAATGCAGTGTCACATTAAATGAACTTTAGAATCAGCAGTGCAAAGATTCTACAGGTAACAATTAAAAGGGTTATCATTTTTTCACCAGTTAAAACAAACTTTTGTGCAATGAAAACAATAATATAGTCATAACAAAGGTTTAAAGTGCTGAAATTAGCCATAAATTGTCCAATTTACATATCATCTAAAATGACATGATATGAAATAGATATTTTTCTGAAGACATTGTCCAAACTGGTTTCATCTTCATCCAGTAGAGTTATAATAATTCACTAAAATGCAACATGACATTGCAAATTGCTTAACAGTACAAAAAAGGCTGCCTTTATTACAATAAATATTTATATATGTTTTCACATCTGAAAGACACAGCTATTATTTTTGATAAATGAGTTCAAAAGAAAATAAAATAGATTTCATATCTGTTTTCTTTTCCATTTTTTGTGTCATTTTGAAAAAAACAGTCCCTGTTATTCAAACGATGTAAGTTTCAACATGGTGGACATTGAATAAAAATTTCTTAGTAGATATCAAACTTTGTTGAAATTATTTTGGTCATACATGTACTACTAATGCACTGAAACACCTTCAACAACATTGAGGTTTTTCCTTCCTTTTAAGGATTTTTCGTATAACACCATAAAGGAGCATACAATTTCCCGCAAATTTAAATATCTGATTACCAAAAAGTATGATGATAAATTAAGCAAACATGCACCAATAAGCTTTGTAGCACCTGCCTCATATTATCTTTGGTTGCTAAAATTTTCAAAGTTCAATATTACAATGTGAAGCTAGAAAAATGTTTAAAGCATGATTGAAATGGTTCTATTGCACATGTGATTGTAATGCCAAATAAAAGAGCCTGATAAAATAATATTAAAAGCACACATTGTTATGTTGCACATTTAGTTATAATCATATAACCCAGCGTTTCAAATATCAACTAATAATACAAATATAGCAATACATAATATGCAATAGCAAAGTTTAAAAATATGTACTTTAATATACATGTACAGACATGATAGATGAATTAAAACAAATACATCAAAATTTGTGATTTTTCACATCTAAATGTGTCCTGGTTACTACATGTTTACAGAAGTATTGAATAGAAATAAATTGTACCATTTTGTGTTTCAAGCTTTTTAGGACACACTCAGACACACATATTTTTATAAGTAGAATTTACACATCCTGAGTAAATCAAATTTGAAAAAAATGGTGTATAAAGTGAGAGCAAAACTATAAAAAAAGGTATACAAAAGATAAAACACCAAAAAATTAACTGTTTATGATTCAGAAAAGAAATTTCGTATTAATCAGCACTATAATAGTTTTTGTTTAATGGTACATCATTCTACTAGAAAGGGGTCCTTTTAAATACGAAGCCAAGTGTTTGGACAATGCAACACTCTCTACATATAAAAAAACCCTTTGAATAACTCTTTGAGGGGTCCAATAATAGTTATTGCAGGGATATATTCTGCAACTTCCAAACATGTCTTTCTATTCCAGAAGCCTTCATAATTCCCAATCCCAGTTTTTATTAACCTATTCTTGTGTAGTACTGAAAAAAGCATGAAAAATTTGAAAGAAAAACTGGATATGAAATGAACAATCAAAGATTAATCAGCTCTACACATATTTTTTTTTGTTCTTTAAAACTTTTTATTAATATCTTACAGAAATGAAGCTTCGGAGTAAATGCAATGTGATTTCCATTATACTTAATATTTCCAAGGGGCATAACTCTTTAAAAATATTTGATCAGCACTTATTTTTGAAAGTGTCAAAGACATTGCTGATATAAACCTATGATATAAGTTTCATATAATTCTGGCAATAATTGTACGCATGAGAATGCTGACAATGAAATTTTCCATATAATCAATATTTCCAAGGGGTTTACTCTTTTAAAAATATTTGATCGGCACTGATTTTTGAACTCATCAAAGATAATATAAACCTTTAATATAAATTTCATAATAATCTGGCAAGAATTGTACACATAAGAGCACTCATAAGGCAATTTTTCATATAATTGATGTTTCCAAGTGGACAAAACTCTTCTATAAATAATTGATCGGCACTAACTTTCGAACTCGTACAAGACATTGCTAATATAAACCTATGATATCAGTTTCATAAAAATCTGGCTAGAATTGTACAAATGAGAGTGCTAACGATGCAATTTTCCATATAATTAATGTTTCCATGGGCATAACTCTTAAAAATAATTGATTGGCACTGATTTCGAACTCGTACAAGACATTGCTAATATAAACCTTTGATATGAGTTTCATAAAAATCTGGCAAGAATTGTACAAATGAGAGCGCTAACAATGCAATTTTCCATATAATTAATGTTTCCAAGGGGCATAACTCTTAAAAATAATTGATTGGCACTGATTTTCGAACTTGTCCAAGACATTGCTGATATAAACCTATGATATAAGTTTCATAAAAATCTGGCAAGAATTGTAATCGTGAGAGCGCTAATAAGACCAGACACCCAGTATTTCTATGTCCCCCACAACATGTTGCGCGAGGGACAAAAAATCCAACAAGAAATATGTTTTGCCTTATTTTCACCATAATATATTTATCAGAAATCTGTTTTACATTAAGGTCAACTAAAAAAATTATTGTTTGCTTGACTTACATTCTTCACAATCAGTTGGTATCATAGGAGAATGACCAACATAAATAGTTTTTCCATAAAGGCTGATATAAATGAATTTTTATTCATTTAAGGTTATGGCAAAAAATGCCCCAAAAAGGTAAAAAATTGTCATTTAAGGGAAATAACTCCTATAAGGATTCAACTGAAATTTTGACCATTTTAACTGATTTATAGATTGTCTTGCTGGTCATTTATGCCATTTAAAGTTTCTCTCTTTAGTAGTTTCCAAGATAATACTCAATAAAATGCTTCGCTGAGCGCAGCCTGATACGACCGCAGTGGTCCAACCCTGAACAGTTGGGGCAAATTTGGATACAATATTCAAGCTTGATACTGTCTGAATTTTGATTGTGATCAAATTTTTGACATAATAAAGGTTTCTGACACAAAATAAAAGTGGTCGAAGATCTTACAAATCTATTGTCCAATGCTGCACAATTGAAGATTTCTTCTTTAAACTTTTCAAAAAATTTGAAATTTGAAAATTTTTGAAAAAAAATATGAATTCCTTAAAAAAATTGGAAAAAAAATCCCCCCCCCCCCAAAAAAAAACAACTTCAGAGAGATCCATACATTTAAACACAAGTTATTGTCTGGAAACTAGAATTTTTTTATTTTTTTTGCCCTTTTTTGGTCCCTAATTCCTACAAGTTTGGGGCAAACTAACTGTTCAAGAACAATTGCCACAAAAAAAGCTTAGTTTATTTTTTTATCTTTTTTGAAAGATAGACCATCACAGGCATATTATTTTACCCTTTGTCATTTTTGCTCTATTTGCCTTAGGTTTGAAGATATAAGCTGAAACTGCACTTTTACAGCTATGTTCTATTTTATCAATGTAACCACAGTAATGTTTGTGGACAAATCAAAATCTCAAGATTAAATTTATAAACTAGACATACCAAGGAAAATTTTCAGTGGTTTCAAAAGTGAAGATTTTTTTTCAATGTTTGTGCTGACAACAGATGCTATTAAAGTTATTGCAATTCACATGGACCTTAGGGTCCAGGTGAGCTAAAAATTGAGTGATTTTGAAAGCCCACATGCATCCCAAATTGACAGGTAAAAGAAACCAAAGGCATTCATTCAAGCGTATGATCTGAACAGAAAATATCTACTACACATGCTGTACCTGCTTCGTACTGATTATAATATCCCATATCACTTTGTGACACATTGTAATAAGGTGTGCCACCTGTAATGTAATAATTATATGGTGTTAATCATCTTGTCTACAACATGCTGGTTAGTTTATCATGCCAAATTTACAAAGTCCAGTTAAAAAATAAATTAATTTAGAAGGAAAACAGATCCAACCATTTTTACATAAAAGGACATGATATTAGAATTCTAAGATACAGCCTTGAAGCTTGTATCCTGGTCTCATTAAAGCAAAATAACACTGCTAAGTTACCACAAAACTGAAAGAGCTACATTTGTAGGAAGTCATGAAAAATATTCATATTTTCTTAAAATATGGCACCTTTTTAAAATTCCCTTATTTGTAATATGAGTCACAGTGTGTTAAAGCATGTTGATTTGTATCTTTTATCACTTAATCTGTCTATATACATTACAATATATCTCAATAGATGACAAAGAAAGAGCATTTCAAACATAGACAGTTGCATTTTCAAAAAATATATAGGTGTGCTAATAATTGGATAATTAATAAATTCTCTTTACTCTTAGCTTTAAAATATGAAAATAAATTGTTTGTTTGTTTTGTTCACACATCGTTGTCAATATAATGGAATTTTATGCGACTGTCATACAAGTGAGAGGTTAGCTAGCTATAAAACCAGTTTAATCCACCATTTTCTACATAAGAAACTAAGGGATTTTCCGTTTAGAATTTTCCTGGGAGTTCAGTATTTTTGTTATTTTACTTTTTATTAAACATCAAAACCACTTTAGTGCACAGTTCCTAAATTTACATGTATCATAACTTTTTTTTTAACAAAGACCTCAATTCTACAAAGATTTCTAAACTAAATTCTGTTATTTGTCAAAACTTATTTCTTGTGTTTTTTTCCCCAAAAATGTAAATTGAGATTTGTCCTATTTTCATGTTTATATTTCAGTCTCTAGTCTGTATTCTAATCTGTGTTTATATTTCAGTCTCTAGTCTGTATTCTAATCTGTGTTTATATTTCAGTCTTTAGTCTGTATTCTAATCTGTGTTTATATTTCAGTCTCTTGTCTGTATTCTAATCTGTGTTTATATTTCAGTCTCTAGTCTGTATTCTAATCTGTGTTTATATTTCAGTCTCTAGTCTGTATTCTAATCAGTGTTTATATTTCAGTCTCTAGTCTGTATTCTAATCTGTGTTTATATTTCAGTCTCTAGTCTGTATTCTAATTTGTGTTTATATTTCAGTCTCTAGTCTGTATTCTAATCTGTGTTTATATTTTAGTCTCTAGTCTGTATTTTAATCTGTGTTTATATTTCAGTCTTGTCTGTATTCTAATCTCTGTCGAGTAGTGTTCTTTAAAAGACTTTTTCTAATCTTTGTGTTAAAGTGTTTTCTCTTAGTGGTCAGTGGGCATAATTCCTTTTAACTCTAAACATTAACTGTTTTGTGCTGTACCCTTTAAACAAACTGTTTTGTGTTGTACCCTTTAAACAAACTGTTTTGTGCTGTACCCTTTAAACAAACTGTTTTGTGTTGTACCCTTTAAACAAACTGTTTTGTGTTGTACCCTTTAAACAAACTGTTTTGTGTTGTACCCTTTAAACAAACTGTTTTGTGTTGTACCCTTTAAACATAGAATAAAGAATGGAAACAGGGAATGTGTCAAAGAGACAACAACCCGACCAAAGAACAGAAAACAGCCCAAGTAATCTGTTTGGTGAGATTTGCCTTTCTTTCCACATTATATCATTGTATATGTGAAGACGTAACAGACTTACCAGGGACACCATACATGGGCTGTTGTTGTGGCTGACTACTAGGACCATACAAGGCCAAGATTGAATCTTTTGTGGATTTCTCCTGAACTTTAGCTGCACCATCATCAAATAATGAAGCTTCCAAATCACCATTCTGCATCTACAAAGAGTAGAAAGTAAAATAACAAAAATACCGAACTCCAAGGAAAATTCAAAATGGAAAGTCCTTTATCAAATGGCAAAATCAAAGGTTCAAACACATCAAACAAATGGGAAACAACTATTCTAAATGCTACATACACAAGAATCTAACCTCAAACAAGCTGATTTCACATGAGTTTCATGTGATTTTTTTTCATGTGAAATTCACATGAATTTTCAAAATAAAGTTATTTAAATAACATCTAAATTTTCAAATTTTATTAAAATCATGAAAAATACCCATTTTTTTTTCCAAAGTTCTTGTTAATCTCATTCAACATTAAACTGTAACAGTTACAGGCTGTTCAAGTGAGTTTTATGTATAAGCTGGTTTGAAATTTTTCCACAAAAAAAGATAAGCATACAGTCAAATTCAAGTGTTTTTTTTTTTAATTTGTACTAAATTAAGGAATCACTTTAAAATAAACTGCTGGGTCATGAGCACATGATACACCTGGATAAAAAAGAATAACATTAATATATATTTTCTAAACAATACATCGGAATTATTCAGTACCTTCCAACTTGTACCTACTTGAGTTCCTGAATCAACAGGTTGACTAGACTGAATACTGCCATTTTGACTAGTTGATACAGATGGTCCCATGATGTCTACTAAATCTCCTAGTAAATCTGATGATTGCGCAGCTGGTTGTTTTGCAGGTGATGTATCTATAAAATATCAACATCTAGTTTTACATCCATATTAAGCTGTGTTATTCAGGGCCTAATCTAGGATTTTGAAGAAGGAGAAGTGACTTCTCCTTCCATGAGAGAGAAGGGAGAAGTGAGATTCCATTACCGTTTCGGTTGCATCGTGTTTTCAAGCTTATCACTAAGGAAATTGTTTTATATTCAATAAAAGATGTACTTGCAGTTTTTTCATATGTTATTTATTTATTGATACCATAATGTGTTCTAAATAAAATTTGTTGATTGGGACATGAGGGAGTAGCCTCTTAATATTATCAAGATTATGATGCATGAAATTCATGCGCATCTGCCCCAATTTATTTTTAAAACTCCAGAAAAATATGATGAATTTCACATGACTGGGAATTTAATTTATATCACCACTTGTCATTGTTTTGTAAAACATTTTGAATGTCTAGGACATTTATGTTAGTTGTAGTTAATTGAAATTATCGTTAAAGATTGAAAGTCTATAAATGAAAATATATTTCAATCTCAAGTTAATTATCCGATAAAGAGCTAGTTTCTATCATTTTTTAAAAATATCATCCATATCAACGAAGTGGTCATGAGAAAAAATCCACTGCTGATCACAATCTGGTCGAGTGTCATACGTTTGCAATCACATTATCCATCAGCTGTCTTTCTACCTTTTATATTTCAATTTTTATTCAATGAATATAATAAATCTACCATTAATTCCCACCCTTTACCTACCGAATAGTAAAATTGATCGACTCGTGTAGGTAATAAAAATAAAACAAATCAGCTGAGTGATTACGCATCATCCTCAGATGAAAATCATCGTAAAACGATAACTTAAACAGACGGTCAGTTTTCCGTTTGAACAGTTTCGAAAGTTATATTTGAGGATGTTCAAAGTCGCCGTTGTATTTATTTAATTTGATCGTTTACAGTATTAGTCCTAGGTCGTTTCGAAAATCTCGATTTTCCTTGTCAGCTGCCATTTTTTTTTACCTGTGAGACGTGTCAATCACAAGTTGTCTCCCTTTTACCGATTTTGATAGCGATTTGACTTCGCTATGAAGTCAGTCGGCCGGCGAGATTTAGCGATTTTCAAAATTCTTTGGCGACTTAAATCGTCATTTCGCCGGCAAGATTATGGCCTGTTATTTAATCAGCCTTTATAAGATCAAATTGGCGAGCATGTGGCTTCAGAAGTATTGCAGATTGGAGAGTATATCGAAAAAATGATAGTTAATTAACAAATTCCAACCTCCTTCATGTTAATTTGAACTTCTCTTTTAAAGTTATTTATTTAAAAGATCAAGTAAGCTTTGTCTGGTTAAGTGTTCCACTTGACTGAAAAATAATTAATCATAAAGCTTAAAAGTGTTCTGTCTGTTTAGAATCTTACTGAGACTAAGTAAATCTTCTGTATTGGAGGTCTGTTTAGGCTGTGTTGGAGGAGGAGGAGTTGTGTTCTGTGTTTTCTTTTCTACTGGCTGTGACCTTGGTACACTAGATTTAGGTGCCTGAAATAGAATACATGACAAATATTGCAATTCCACTTTTATTCATATGCTGCAAACAATGTATATTTTAATTTACTGCACCAAACTGTATATTTTAATATGCTGCACGAAACTGTATATTTTAATTTACTGCACCAAACTGTATATTTTAATATGCTGCACGAAACTGTATATTTTAATTTACTGCACCAAACTGTATATTTTAATATGCTGCACAAAACTGTATATTTTAATTTACTGCACCAAACAGTATATTTTAATCTCAAATGTCCAATCTTTTAAAGAAAATCAACTATAGAATTGAAGGCTGTATGGTGACCTATTGTTGCATAAATCTGTGTCATTTGGTCTCTGGTGGATAGTTGTATCATTGGCAATCCTACCAAATTCTTATTTTCATATAGATACAACTCAGACAAAAGGCTATCATTATTATACTGTAAATTCAGAAATTTTGGCAATAGTTATATCATTGTAAAGGGAAGGATTTCTAAAAAAAAAAAAAAAATACTGCTTCATAAATTTTAAAGGCATTACTTCTATGCATTATATCATAAAAAATGCAATCGCAACAACAAATGCAAACAAATATTTCTGAATTTATAATAAATGGTCTCAGGTCAAAAAAAATCCTACCTCTATTTGTATAGATGACTGTTGTTTAGGCCTTTTCTTTCTTTCTGTTTTTTCATCCATTTCCAGCTGAAAAAGTTTAAAACTTCTAATTTTACACAAATTTGATTGATTAGTTGTTGATTGGGTCTCACATTTGTTTCATAATGATATATGAATGAATGAAGAATGATATATTAGAAATGCATTTATATTAATAAGTTCATATTGATTACTATTATACATGTAAATAATACTTGGTCAAATATAGGTTCTTTACAAGAAGCTAAAAGCAGATTACTTTGTATATCAATGTCTTTGCCTTTCAAGCATTACTATATATATATATATATATATATATATATAAATACATCATAGGTTTGAATGTTGTTTTCAATTTAAACTTGTTTATATTATACATACATATGTACACTTTCAATTCATTGTTAATATGCTATTGACCAATCTGGTGTGTTTTTTTTTTACATTCAAATCAATTGCTTTATCTGGTGTTTTCTTTCTATTTTTGTACCATTTAATTATATTAATACAAAACATTTTAATTGTGCTCTGCTACATGGTCAGGACACTTGAAAAGTGATGTTACATAGGAGATAGATTTATCTTAGTTACTAGTATACAAATTATAGATGTTTATAATTACTATAAAGACCCTTCACCAATTTCCACATGCATATCCATAATTCTACTTTGTGATGGTAACAAATTAAAGGAATCTGTAAAAGGATATAATACCAAAGTCTGTGATATTTGTGTAACAGAAATTAACCAAGCATCTATCAAAATGAAGATATTGTGACAGTTATGATTGGTTTCAAATGGTTCTTAGTGCAAAAATTTATTTTCAAATGTAAAGTATTCATAATACTCTTTCTCCTACAAGTTTTTATTAATTTGATAAATATATACCAAATGTTCAGTATTCCTTTTTTTATTTCTATAAAAAGAACAAACAAAAAACAATTTCTGCATGCCTTAAAATCAACTGAAAGAAATGTAAAGTAAAACCTCAAATTTGGAATGTTCACTACATTTACAGAGGAAATTTGCATATTTCAACTATTTGCTTTAAAATATACTTCTTATGCATACTCTAGCTCCTAATATCAATACTCTTGCATACAAACATAAAATTTGACATTGTTTTTCAGAAATATGTATCTAAAAGCTTTACTTTTATGATGCTAAAGAAATATTTATGAGGGGCTCAGTAAATTGAAAAATCTTTTTCCAAACTTTTAGTATAAAAAAAAAGGGTTTTAATTTGAAGAGAAATTCCCTCTTCTTATGTGGAAGTTTATTGTAATACCCAAACAAGTATTTGTCATCGTTTTAAAAACCATTCCTTTTAAATGCTCAAATACAAAGATGTATAAAATAAAGGTGTTTATTTTATCTCATTATTTCATTAGCATCATACATTTGTTAAAAACAATCAACCCAGAGCTGTATTAGTAGATAGAAGAAAGATTAAAGATAGTAAAATTTACCGTGTCTCCTTTTAACTGCAGAAATATTCAATGTTGCATTAACTATACACAGATCTATGATAAGCAAAGGTTACATTCACAACATAAAAAGGGCATGCAAAGTTCTGTGCAACTATACAACTATAGTTATTCATGATAACAAAATGAAAATAAATAAAGATGATGGCGGGTATATGTCAATAAGGCAGCAGTATTATTGGTTATAAAATATTTCATGTTCAAATTTTACAGTCATTAATTATATAAAATTTCAAATAATTATGAAATTAAAAAATGATAACTTGGATTGCTTTATAATGTTTGCTTCCTGTGTCATCTGGTTGGATTCAATGCTCTTCATTGTCTTGAAAATGCATGAAATATTTGCCACTGGACATGAAGCAACCAACAATGAATGCTTTTTAAGATTTTGTAGATAATCCTACACAAGTTAATAAACAGATAGCTGTCTGAACAAAGCATATTTCTTGAATGTAGATACTATTTAACAAAATATGAAATGGTACTGGTTTAAGTTTAACAATCAGACAAAACCCTTCAATTTTCAAACGATTCATTATAATGCCTTACCTCCTTTGGTATAGTTGGCTTAGGCACCACCCATTCTCTGGCAACATACTTTTTATGTTCATACTTTGCTCTTATAAAGGATTCTAGAGCGCTTGTTAATGTTAAGGAAATAGAGTTGAAAACTGAGGGATGTATAGTCTGTTTCTTTCAAATTAAAGTTGACATTAAATGTCTCACCTGTGGCAATATTTGATTTTTTTAAAAACTCTCAACTGAAGTCAACTCACTAGTTGATTCAAATCTGCAATGTGCAAATGTTCATGTACATATATTATTCACATAATATACCCTTTTAACCACATAAATTCAAGATACTACAGGACCACAAAGATGAGACATGAAAATGAATTCAAGGTCAGGTGACAATAACTGACTGACATTCAAAAAATGTGACTACCTCCTTACCAAGTTTTTTCATCCTTGGTGAAAGTAGAGATAAAACAATACATTTGTTTGCAAATTGTTAACATAATCTTCACCAGAACATTTCTACCTATGTCTTGCTTACCAAGACTTTTGTTGGACAAAAGTTGTTTGGAACACAAGTTAGATGGGATAATTTTCAAGTGAACTTGTAACAAAACTTGAGATGTGACATGCACATCTTGGATAGATAAATAAATATCTCAAAATTTAAAAGCTGTTGGTATAAAAACCTGTAGGTTAATGATGGTTTTTCAAACTAAGGGTTGTTTCTCAGCTACAATCTCATGGAAGATGTGGCAGAGAAACATCCTCAAGTTTGAAAGACCATTGATAATCTGTTTATCGCTATTTTTACTATGATGAAAAATACACAAAATAGAAATAATACATTTTCCAAACCTGTGTCCCCTAAACATTCACATAAGAATGATTTGCACTTGGTGAAACACTGATAGAAATAAGAAGATATTAAAATGACTAACAGGGCAATAAAAATAATAATTTGAAGAATGAAAAACATACATGCACATTTTTTTGTATTAAATCTGCATGCTAGTCAGCACAGTGTGTTTGCCAGTTAATTTTTTAACTAGCAAAGTTTTGCTTCAAGTTAATAAAAGTTGAAAAACATACATAATTTGATTTCTGGTAACCTGGACCAGATGTCCATAAATTCCAGTGTCAGAACATAAGAGTATAATATTTCTGTTCTTTTGTCGTGGAAACTTTAAAATTCTGATTACTAAAATGTATCTGGAAACCAAATAGATTTAGGGAGAGGAAAGTTATATGCTGATTAGACAAGGATACGAGTCTGTCTGTGGTCTTCTGAAACTGTCTGGTACTTGTGCTTCATAAGCTGCTCTGGCTCTACTGTTTCCAACTTCCATCATCATCTGAAAAAAATAACCACACTTTTAAAATTACTGACACCCACAATAAACATATTTATACAACAAATAATTTACATTCATTCTCATTGAAAAAATAAATGATATCTGGTTAACATTTTCAATGGCTGAACTTTATTAATTCATTTATCTTTCCTGAAAAAACTTTCAGGTAAAATTTTCTGAAGCTAAATAAAAGCAAATAAATCTGAACTCCTTTAAAATTTAAGGCAAATATGCTCTTATTTCACAACAGTTAAATGTTTTACCAGAATATTTAAAACATATAAAATAAATGCAGCTATTTATGCAGGTTAGTCAATTTTGTTTCAAAGATAGATTTTTTTTAAATTCTATGCTCTCTTGTATTTTGTAAATTATATTTGGAAATTTCTATTTTCTTTACGAGTACTGTCTGGTCGATATATAATTTTCACAATGTATCTGTGGGGTATATATTATCCTTTACCCTTCACCACATGCACCACACCTACAGTAGCTTACTAACTCTTGTAATAAAATACATACTGCAACTTGTTCTGCAGTCCAAGTATCTAAATCTACAGATTTGACTTTCGATATATGGACACCAAGATTCCTGTGTTTTCCTGCACATCTCATGCAGAGGAAAATCCCTAAATTCCATGATGCCCATCTTGGACCTGTAATTCCATTAAAGAGTAAAATATATATCACATAATCTAAATATACATACTGCTACTTGTTCGGCAGTCCATGAGTCTAAATTTACAGATTTGACTTTTGATATATGTACACCAAGATTTCTGTGTATTCCTGCACATCTGATACAAAGGAAAATTCCTAAATTCCAGGAAGCCCATCTTGGACCTGAAAATTATCAACAAAGCAAATGATGATAATGAGACTATACAGGTGTTAAAATCAGATGTTAAACGCTGAATGAAAGTATTAGTATATGTATATGCTAATTCATTCTGCCAAAAAATCATTGGAATTACCAATCTAAACTACATTCAAATTCAAATCTGACCTTACTTTTAAGAGTTAGTAACATAACACTAAGTAAAAAATAAAGTGATGTAAATCTGTGTATCAAAATGAGTTATCACCAAACATATGAAAATTTCCACTGAGATATTGGGATCTCACAGAATTTGAAATCATGGGAGCTATTCTTATCAAAAAGGTTGACATGCACTATAGTTGCATATAACAGATTGGCTGATGAGGCAAAGCGTGCTCATATATAATACAGACCACAGGGATCAATCCTAAATTTACTCCCAAATTCTATGTGCAAAAATTTGAAATAAACTGATACACCTGTCTAAAATCTGATCAAGGTTGAAGCACAAATATCAAGCCAGGGGACAGCACTTGTCAGTCTAAGAATGAAATAGCATTTTCACATGACATATGTTCAAAGTGAAAGCACATTTGAAGCATATGGCGGGTTGAGCAGAGGGGAATAAAGGTTTTGAACTTTGCAGTTTTTTATGTATTTCTTTTGGGATAGATATTCATGTAGAAAAATAAAGAATACAAAAACGAAAGGTGCATGCTTTATCATTACAACAATGAATCTATTACAAATATGAGTCCAAGAAAGAAACTTGACCCATAAGCCTGGGTAAAAAAATGTCCTTGTTTTCTTCAAAAATCTTGATCGTCACTCTGCCCTAGTGGAGCAAGAACCAAAGGTTTGAGGATCATTATAACCTTATGGCAAATAAACCTGAGCTTACATCACAGAATTTATTCTGTGTAAAGTTTAACGGCATGGCTGGACCAAGAATAGGGCAATCTATTTCAAGGTGAGTACTCTTGGGATTGAAGCTACAAACCCTAGTATACACCTTAACAGCAACCTCTAGCCTTTGTTAGTTTTTTTTTTTTTTTTTATTTTGGTTCATTTGTATGTTCTGGAGTGAAGAGTGGCGTCCATTTTGCTGAACTAGTATACATTATTGTTAGGGGGGCAGCTGAAGCCAGACTTCAGTTGCGGGATTTTCTCACTGTGTTGATGACCCATTGGCCTTGGGCTGTTTTCTGTTCTTTGGTTGGGTTGTTGTCTCTTTGACACATTCCCTGTTTCCATTCTCTATTCTACCTTAACACTATTCCCATATTCGGAGTATTCCTGAACATTATAAACAATTTGGTCAAACTTTGAAGTCAAAACTGAATATGTCTGACACAACATAGAAAGTGTGATTGATGTATGATGTCAATAGTTCAAGTATCACAGATAATTATTCTTCTTTCTTCTTTAGGGTTTCATTAGTCCTTCAATGATCTGAAGATTATTTACTGTTTTGCAAAGCATGGCCTATATATATATTTACAAGAATACAAAAATAATTGAAAATGAATTTGGAGTGCATAAATTTTTAAAAACTATGTACATCATGTACATCATGTACATAGGCTTATAATAAATTAAATGAATTTGTGAAGAACAGCTGATGTGAGCTGTTCTCTGAAAGTGTCAACTGTTGTTAACTTGTGATAGTGACTGTATGGATTGGTAATAAATTCCATTGAGTTATGGTACAAAGAAAAAATGAAAATTTATATGCATCTTTTTTGGTTGAAATGTTTCTGAACGTGAAATTATGATTTTAGCGGGTTCTACTATCTGATGGTATGAGAATAGCATATGGAATTGCTACGATTTGATTGACTATTTTATAGAACATTACTAATGTACGTAGTCATCTTTCTTGTAGTGTTGGTAAGTTTTATGAATTTATCATGTCTGTAATACTATGTCATAATGATTGTTATGGTACCCGTTACAGAAATATCTGGCAGCTCGACGTTGGATCATTTCGATTTTAGAAGTTTCCTCAACTGTGTGAGGGTCCCATACTGTACATGAATATTCCAGTTTTGGTGGAACTAGCACCAGATATGCCTGGGTCTTGATGTTCTGACATGTTTTTAAATTTCTTTTTGGGAAGCTTAAAGATTCATTGTATGTAGGTTTTACACTAGTAATTTTTCGGGCCCTTTATAGCTTGCTGTTCGGTGTGAGCCAAGGCTCCGTGTTGAAGACTGTACTTTGACCTATAATGGTGTACTTTTATAAATTGACTTGGATGGAGAGTTGTCTCATTGGCACTCATACCACATCTTTTTATATCTATTTTGACCATTCTAAGTTTGCTTGTAGTGTAATGCCCAGATATTTAGCTTAAGAGACCAGTTCGAGTTTGTGATTGTGGAAGATATAGTCATGGTAAGGACTGTGCATTTGTCTGAATGGAAAGCCATCAACCAGTCTTGCTCCAACCCAGCACAGTGCCTTGAGGGACCCCGGAGGTGACTGGAGTCTGGTCAGATGACTCTCCATCCAAGATGGTTTAAGATGTGTTAGGTGATGATATGCTCCATAAGTTTACAAGAAATGCATGTCAATGATATTGGGCCATAGTTCTCAGGTTTGTATTTTTCCTCTTTTTTTAATACTGGTGCTACATTTGCGTGTTTCCATTCTGTTGGTGTTATGCCAATTTCAAGTGATGTTTTAAAGATAAGTGTAAGAATCAGAGTTGTTTGATCTTTTGTGTTCTTTTAATATTTTGCCACTGATGTTATCTGGGCGACTTGCCTTATGTGGGTTTATCAGTTTATGTTATGCAGTAGTTTCTTGACACCAGGTAATGATATTTCTAGTGGTGTTATTACGGGGTGTGAGCTTGGACCTTTGTCTGGAATGTTGCTATTTGATTCAGTTGTAAACACTGATTGGAACTGTGCGTTGAGAATGTCTGGCTTTTGCTTCGTCTGTTATTAACTGTCCTTCTTTTTTCAAAAGAGCGACACCTGTGTTATCTGTGCGCAGTGATTCTATGAAGGAAAATAGTTTTTAGGTTTGGACTGATTGTTACTCTGTTGCCCCTGTTGGTCAGGTTCATTTATGGGTAAGTCCAATATCATTTTTTTTTCAATATAACCCCAGTATGCTGTCTCTGTTCTTTTTGTACTTGTTTTTTAAGATGTTTGTACATATCAACACACTTTATGTTTTGTTTCATCTTATAATATAATTATTTTTTTCTATTTATCATTTTCCTGAGATAGTCTGTTTATTTATGTTACAAAAGATTAATTTTAAAAATGTTCAACATGATTAATTTTAAATGTGTTCCACATATCATTTACATTTGTTTTGTCATCTAGGTTTTGTTGATCATTGTATGTTTATTACTCAAAAAATGACAAAATCAAAATTATACTGAAAATAGGGATAAAGTCTTTACATCAATGATGTAGTTTTGTTTTGGTAAATGGTGTTTATACATTTTCGCACTTATATGTAAGAACTCAACATTGTCTTCTCTTACAGAAAACAAGTGTTTCCAAAAATTTAAAAGTTTCAAAAGTGAATTTCAATTATAATTTTTATGGTCACTTAGGGTAATGACAAGATATCTTTTTTTGTAATTTACACCTTTTGCGTCACAGTCAACACAATATTTGTTATCATCGTCTTTCAAAAGGTTTGCCAATGTAGCCTGGTATTTTTCCTGCAAGTGTTTTTGTCGTTCTTTTTCTGATCTTGTAGACATTTTGACAACACCAGAATTCAATCAATACACTCCTCCGATGACAACTAACCGGATGTGTGAAAAGGTTTCTTGCGGAAGAATTGTTTTACTTCCTGTTTCAAACATATAAGCTACAAGAACTTTTGCATGATATATGCAGTTCGCTAAAATAATTTTCATCACATATACTTATTCAAGGGAAGAAATTACTTGTTACTTCAGTTTCGTATAATAGGTTTCGTGAGAATTATTTTGCGTATTTATTTTAAGGGGAGCTAACTTGGTCTTGCAGAATATGACAAATATTAGCTTTTTAAAAAGCTGGTCTGGTTTTGGTAAAAATAAAAATAAAATATCTTCTTGCAGAATCGAAAAAGTGCATATTTGGCAAAAAATAATTACTTGCAATTGATATCCTTTATTATAATATATTATTTGCATTATATACAGGTTGTAAGAAAATTGCAAAAGATTAGTTATTTTTAAAACCGAGAGAGGCGAAGATACGGCCAAAGGGACATTCAAACTTACAAGTCGAAAGTAAACAGACAAAGCAATGGCTAAAAAGAAAAGACAAATAGATAAACATCAGTACACAAAACACAACATGATTTCATGATGAATTAGTTGAACATTGCACAGAACTGAGTTTGTGTATTTTATTTAGGAATATCATTGAAGCCATCTGGAATCCGTTTTCACCAGTGCTGTACTCAAATCTACTTTGTAAAAAACCTTTAAAGGTATTGTTTTGTATGAGGAAAATGCTGTATTTTGATAAGGCCGATCATATTTTCCCCCACATGAAACTTTTAAATTCTTGTTTTAGTCCGGACCGATAATGCCTCGTATTCAAGTTAGTGAGATATGGTCACTTAATATTGTAAAGAATATATTCAATGGAATCCGAGTTAAGGTAGATCATAGGTATATATTTCTTGAGATAGAATTTTCTTATACTTTGTCAAAATGAAGATTTTACTATGCTTTTTTCAAAAATATAATAAAAAGTATGGGTCACCGTGCTATTTTCCAAGCTATGAGTCGTTGAAAATTGCCTTAATTTGGTTAGATTGTTCATGAAAAAACACATGTTTGTGCATAAAAAAAAATCTATGAGATAGAATTTTGAAATAAATTGTGAGAAGATAGGTTTTATAATATGTTTTAAGAAAATAAAAGAAAAAATGGTGTCACCGAACTTATTTTCTTGATACAAGTAAAAATAAAAAATTTCCCTATCAGTCCAGTATATTTTTTATACTAAAAGAGTTATCTCCCCTTAAATGGTTTATTTGAAAAAATGATTCTAAAAACACAAAATTTGATATTTGTCTAAATATTTTGAGTTATACAATAAATCACCAAGTTTTCTTTATATGAATAAACAGTCTAAGTAATAAATTTCAAATCTGTCTCCACATTTGCAGATTTGAGCAAATAACTAGACCGATTTTGTACTGGGATTGTACAATCCAAGATGGCGGTATACCATGAATCTACCTTAAACGTCGAAGTCAAATTTGCAAAAAATCTCCTTGTAGCCTAATTCACGGGCGGTTAATATAGATATAAGAAGATGTTGTATGAGTGTCAATGAGACAACTCTCCATCCAAGTCACAATTTGTAAAAGTAAACCATTATAGGTCAAAGTAAGGCCTTCAACACGGAGTTTTGGCTCACACCGAACAGCAAGCTATAAAGGGCCCCAAAAATTCCTAGTGTAAAACCATTCAAATAGGAAAACCAACGGTCTAATCTATATAAAAAACGAGAAACAGCTGTTTCGGAATGTACCTTGTTTGTATACACCAAATACATATAATATTGTTTTATGTCTCTAGTTAGACATGAAGTCTTCTATAAGATTTTGGCTCCCCATTTAAAACTCAAAAGAGTCTTTATCATATGATGTTTATAAAGTTAACCAGCAGTTACGTATGCTCTCCAAAAATTAATTAAAATATAACGATCCAAATTGAATTTTTCTCATGTATGGGGAAGTCAAGGCACATTTTCTACAAAAAACGCTTTGATAATGGAAGTATTATATTGACAACAGATTGGCTGATGAGGCAAATATAGTGCAACTTGTCAATATAATACGTCCATGCTTTGATAAAGACTGAAACGAAAAGAAAATTATAATATATTTTGGAAAAGTTGTCTTTACGATGAGAATTCAGTTAATGGAAATAAGTTGAGAACTTCCAGAAATAAAATTTAAGAACGAACTTGAAAAGTATCTTCTTTTTTTGCACATAAATACGAATAATATATAAAAAAAAAATGTTAAAATATGAATAAGTAATAGCATGCTAGCTATTGAACGTTGTCGATATAATAAAATGGCTTTAGAAAATAGAATGTGATCCATATGTAAATAGACTCGGAGGTAGAAGATGAATTACTTTTTTGTTATATATGTACACAACTAAATAACTCTAGAATCAAAAGGTTTGATCAATTTTCGGACAGTGTTCCTTTTTTATTTAATTCAACAAGAAATGAAAACAAATTTGACTTCATTTTGTCTTGTGAGAATGCAACATATTGAATAATTTTGTTAATAGCATTAGTGAGATGTATCTTGATAGCATACACCATAAAACGTTAATTGTGCATATACTGTGTATTTCACACTAATAGGTCTCTTTTTTTCGTCAACTTAGTATGTGAATAAGTATGATAGAGGTATACGCAACATTCCCTTCTTTATCTTTGTTCTAAATATAACAATTTTAATGCAGATTTTGGAGGAGGCATGTTGTCAAGAACTAAAAACTAGTTTGTCAATGTTACATACTTGTGCTGTTTATAGTTGTTATTTGGTCTTAATCTCATTGTTTGTATTGTATACACTAATGAAATTCTTTTTCTTCTAAAGGTTTTCTTCATTAATTTTGGAGTATTGGGTGTTGATGGCAGATCCTTAGTTGTTTTTGTTAAATTTATTTACAAATTTTATGGACTTGCCGTACTTTGACCTATACTTGTTAACTTTTTATACATTATAACTTGGATGGGGAGTTGTCTCATTAGCACTCATACCACATCTTCTTATTTATATTGAATTAGAAAATCATCTTCTACTAGCCTTCCACGTCCAATCGTATTGGGAACGTAAAATCCGATGCCCTCTGTAGGGGAGTGTCACCATCTTTGCACGTTAAAGAAACCTTGCAAAAAACTCTCTGTTTTTGGCTCTTTGCCATGCAAAATTTCAGCACTTTCTAACATACCCTCATTTTTACAGTGGCTGTCTAAATTGTCAAGACAGGATTGCAAAACCTATACCTATTGTATCAATTGGTTATTTGTTCTCGTCACGAAAATTTTCCACTGGACGTTACGCAACAATCAATCAACCAATCTTATAGATCTTCACGAGATTGTTATTTCTAAAATGGTAAAGATAAATAGCAAATTACTGATACAAGATGGCAGATATAGTAGAACATCTTTACAACAGAGATTTATCCATTTTGTAGATATGACAATGAAGATTAATTTCATATATATATATAAGAAGATGTGGTATGAGTGCCAATGAGACAACTCTCCATCCAAGTCTTATATGCTCATTAAGCAGAGCTTTACAATCCAATATAAATACATTCTTTTATTACTATGTCTGAAAAAAGATTTAATTTTCATTTTGAAGAGTAATAATCCTGATATTTGTTCTCTGTGTGTAGCCGGTTCTCTGTGTGTAGCCGGAATAAATGATATGTATAATACAAACATTGATTTGAAGCAAAAAGAAGGAGAAGAGTTTCAGCATATATGAATACCAGGAAGTAAAAAGCTTTTAACTAGGGGCCTGATTTAGGCTGATGCCTTTTAGTTTGTATTGTTGGGTTTTCGTTGTCGTTTTACCCATATCTCCTAGTATGCATATTAGCTTAAATTCCACAACGCGATTATCACATAGATAGTGATAGGCTTATTAATTTAGCTTTCCTGTGTCTAGAATCCTTTTTAGTAGCTAAATAGATATAAGAAGATGTGGTATGAGTGCCAATGAGACAACTCTCCATCCAAGTCACAATTTGTAAAAGTAAACCATTATAGGTCTAAGTACGGCCTTCAACACGGAGCCTTGGCTAACACCGAACAGCAAGCTATAAAGGGTCCCAAAAATGACTAGTGTAAAACCATTCAAACAGGAAAACCAACGGTCTAATCTATATAAAAAACGAGAAACGAGAAACACTTATGAACCACATCAACAAACGACAACCACTGAACATCAGGTTCCTGACTTAGGACAGTTGCAAACAAATGCAGCGGGTTTAAACGTTTTAATAGGCGCCAACATTCACCCTACTTGAAACAATAGTGTAACATCACAACATAGAAAGAAACACTATAAAATATCAACTGAAATGGCTTAACTCAATCAAAAGACATACTAACAAAAACAAATAAACATACACTTATCGAATAAATTTGATCTATGAAACAACGTAAATACAAAATTAATAAAACAAGGGGGTTACATGTAAAACAATATCAGAAAGACAACCATAACCTTGGACAAAATGCCGCCAAATAAAATAACGTACACAGGTAAATAAAAATAATTTTGTTGTAAGGTATACATGGAGTACGGAAATAATTTTTACAAAATAAATAATTTTGTTGTTCCTAGTACGAGAACAAAAGTGAAAATGTATCGTCATACTAAACACTTATCCAAGGTGGTATATATTAAAAATAGTGAGACTAGATATAACACTGAATAAGTAAACATTAAATAACAAAAGTTCATTACAAATTTTATCAATAGGTCATATTAACACGAAAGTACGATTTGAGAGTACTCGCAGTTACTGAAAGCTAGTTAAAAGCCAAAAACAATTAATTATAAAAAAATCATGCATCAGAGACTAACCGCATTTGAACATTTAGAAATGTCAGTACTATATGTTTTGACTATACCTACACAACACAAAATCCGTCAAATAAAGTTCCATCTCGGCTTATATAGAAGTGTTAATTCTACAACTTATCTTTCACTGCTTTAACTAGGTTCCTTATTACTATCAAAGAACTTTTCATTTAATTTTGTAATAAAGCA